CGACCGAATAATCGTCTAGCTGTGTTCTTACCTCTCAAGAAGAGAAGAGTACGCTGTGTCTGGAGTAATAATATTATATTCTCAAATAACAGTTTCTTACATGATGCATGCCAGTTTACAGTCAAGATCAAATTTTTGCAGAAGTTACAACTTTCGCTGTAGAAAATCACTCAGCTAGGTTGATATTTTATAAGACATGAATGTGAATAGATTTCGCAAGAAACATGTCAATAACCTTTTTGCGCGCTATTCGAACGGGTAGTTTAGTCCTAACGTGATTTACATTTCTCAAACTTTTGCTGTGTTCTTACGCAACAAAAGTATCATTTCCAATCCAAAGAATCTATTCTGAGCTATACGTTCGGTAGATTACTTCTTTTTTGTGTTTCACTCAAATTAATAGTTAACTGTGGCTTTGCCTCAGCTCGCTATCGGTTTTTTTATAGTTTTCACGTAAAGGCTAGCTTTAGCTTATCGTTAACTGTTTTTATACATTTTTGCCAGTTTTTGTTTACTGTGTGTTTTTTTTTAACGGTCCTAAATTTACTGCTTGTATTTTTAAGACAGTCTAAATCTCTAGCCATGAAAAATTCATGCAAGAGACCTGGTTGCCGTTTTGACGTTACATCTGGCATGCAATGTGACAACTGTAAAGGTTGGTTCCATCAGGCATGTACAGATCTAACAGCAGCAGCCTATAGCAGACTCAGCAAGTCTGACCGTAGGTGGGTATGTGTTACCTGCAACACCGATACGGTAGTTATGTTGGGCACTATCATTACTTTACTGACAGGTCTGAGAGATAAGTTGTCTAAGAATTCGGTAAATGATAGCATCATGACGGGTAACAAAGCTGGAACGCATAGGGCAAATAAGAAAAAGGATACTGACAGGTCGGTTATCGACGGTGCTGTTAACAGCACGAGTGATGATGTGTTGAAACTCAGCACCATCCTAACATCGACTGTCATCGACTCCCTTAGTAAACTTGGGTCCCTCGGGGAACGGTCCTTGAATGGGACAGTGGTTCCCAAAAATCCTGTAGTTGGATGGACTCACGTTGACAGGAGTAATAAAGCCCAAGCGTCCCCTCCGAAACTGAACGTCCCAAGTATCGTGCGGAAATCAATTGATGCTTTGGCCGCACAATCTACACCCAAGACTGTCCGCCCGGTCATCACTGAGCCCAGGAATCGAAAACGCGCCTCGACATCCAAACAACAAGATACCAAACCTAAACGCCCTGGAAAACCTGGGAAATCAATTGCGGTTCGTGACGACTCTGTCATAATCATGAACCTTATTGACAACCCCGACCTTCCTCTCAGTTTGCAGGACAAAAACGATAGGATGCTCTGGGGAGAATTAATCAAGAGACTTGAACTCCCTAGAATAGAGCCTTTGACCGTCACACGGCTCACTCGGGGGAAGGACTCTAACCACCTAAACCACCCGAGGCTGCTTCGTGCTACACTTAAGAATGCCTCCGATGTAGAGGACGTCCTGCTAGCCAGTCACTTACTGAAGTCCGATGGGAACGTAGGAATACTGCCAGACATACCGTATTCTGAACGAAATCTCATCCGGAATCTCGCGAGGCGTTTTTCCGTGGACGAAATATCATTGTGCAAGGTGTGCCGGAAAATATGGACTCAACTCAAGCAAACTCTGATATTCGGGAATGGAAATTCATCAAGCATTCCTTAAAACTCGAGAACATATTGACCCAACAGGTAATGAGACTGGCCAAGAGAGACGGAGACTCTAGGCCCCGGCTGCTGAAGATAACCTTCCCCTCCTCCCACATGGCGGCTGCAACTCTGGAAGCATTTCGTGCCAATAGACGTCGGTCGCCAACTGGCATCCATATGCAACCGGATAGGCCCCACGACAGCAGGATCAAGCACAAACGAAAGCTGGAGCTGACAATTTCACTCGTGGACTGTCTTGATCATAAAAAACGTGTAAAGGACAGGGACTACCAACTCGGTAAACATCGTATAGGTAGGCTACCTGTCCACTCACACACGGCTCATATAGACAAACAAGAAGAGGCTCACGCGTTCCAAATTGAAAGCATAAACTGTCTATACACAAACGCCGAGAGCTTGCCAAACAAAATGGATGAGCTACGTGAACTCAGCAACGCTAATGATGCCCATCTGATAGGGATATCCGAAACTTGAATAACGTCTTAGTTTACGGACCAAGAGTTAGCAATAACTGGGATGTCTTTATTTCGCAACGACAGAAAAACAGGAATGGGGGTGGGGTAGCACTATACGTATGGTCATGCCTGGACGAGCACCAACTTCACAACCAAGAGTTTCACAATCTTGACGAGTCAGTATGTTGCTCAGTAAGATTATCTACCACCTCGAGGTGCCTAGTTGGGGTCGTTTACAGGAAGCCCACTGCCGACATCGAATATGACAAACGTCTGCTGGAAGGATTAACTCGCTCTACGCGTCTCGGATTCTCTCATATCCTGATTGTAGGGGATTTCAATCTCCCTAGAATCAACTTCGTGGAACATACATACATTGGTGGTGCCAACTCTACTGAAGCTCTGTTCTTCAACCTTACCGGCGACCTGGGATTATTTGAAAATGTGAAGTCGGCAACCCGTTGGAGAAACAGTCAGACGCCGTCTCGCTTAGACTGGGTATTCACAAATGAAGAATTCCTAGTTGACGACCTCTCAATCCTGGCTCCCCTGGGGAAAAGTGATCACGCCGTCTTATCATTCAGCTTTGTCAGCAAAACGGAGCTACGATATCCTACTAGCAACAAGCGCTGGAACTTCAAACGGTTGAATGTGTTAGCTTTACAGGACTATCTACAACAGGTGGATTGAGATGTTCACCCTCAAATTGAAGTGGATGCTCATTGGGATTTTCTACTGCACACGATCTTATGTGCTACTGAGCATTCAGTTCCTAAAATGGTCCCAAAAAGCTACAAGCAACCTGCAATCATCAAGAACCGCACTCGTCGTTTGCTAAGCCGCAAAAGGCACTGTTGGGCTGAAGATAAACGAACTGATAACAACGGCGCGTACAGGCAATACAAACATATAAGGAACATATGCACAAAGGCAATAAGAGAAGACAGGCTTCAGTTCCAGACCAAGCTTATCGATAGATTCGTTTCCAATCCGAAAAACTTGTTCAGTTATGCAGCTTCTCTTCGACTGGAGTTTCCCAACTGCTTGGTCCTAATGGCCCGACCAATAACGACAGTGATGCCGCTAACCTTTCGACTGAACATTACCCCCGGACATTCCAGTTGACCCACATCAACCATACTGACGAAAGCTTGACCTGCACCTGTACAGGACTATCCGAAGTGGACCTGAGTGCTGACCTGGTGCTCCGTAAACTGCAGAACCTAAGAAAAGACACTTCTCCTGGTCCGGATATGGTTCATTCCGCTGTATTGAGGGAAACAGCTTCAATCCTGGCGACACCACTTAGCGTGATGTTTGCACACTCGCTAAGCAGAGGCAAACTACCGGAAATATGGAAGCTGGCCCACATCACACCAATTTTCAAAGGAGGTCGACGGAGTGAACCCTCAAGCTACCGACCAGTGGCGATTCTCTCCATACCTTCCAAAATTATGGAATCCCTAGTATTCGACGGCATACTAGAACACTTATCATCCTCAAAGTTCTTCTCGCCTCAACAGCATGGTTTCAGAAAAGGTCATTTTTGTATGACCAACCTGCTGACTGCGGTGGATAGATGGACAACCATCCTTGATCGCAAGGGGAAGGTTGACGTCATCTACCTGGACTTCTAAAAAGCTTTTGATAGGGTCAACCATGCATGTCTTATCAAGAAGCTTGCACGATTGGGCATAAAACCCCCTTTAATTGATTGGCTCTCTTCATATTTAGAAAACCGACACTTTAAGGTCAGGGTTAACTTCACTGTCTCTCAGGCTATGGAATGTTCTAGTGTTGTCCCCCAGGGTTCAATACTAGGACCTCTTCTCTTCTTGATTTACATTAACGATCTTCCTCAACAAGTTTCATCTGACTTATTGCTTTTTGCTGATGATGTGAAACTTTGGAGAGAGATACTTAATCATAATGATATACTAGTTCTTCAGGAGGATCTGACCCAACTTCAAAGTTGGGCAGACGACAACGGACTTACCTTCAACACTTCAAAGTGCAAGGTAGTTCATCTGAGACATGTTGCAGACTATAATTATAACTTAGGTAACTCACCTCTAGAAGTTTCCCAAGTTGAAAAAGATTTAGGAGTGTTGGTACCCTACGACCTGAAGTCGTATGCGAACTGTGACCAAAACGCCTCTCAAGCAAACCTTGCACTGGTAACATTGAAGCGCATTTTTGGCCAGTTTGACGGTAGAACCTTCCATATAATCTTCAACATTTTTATTCGTCCCCACTTAGAGTACGGAAACATAGTATTTCCTCCATCCCTCCAAAAGGATAAGGTCACTTTGGAACGTATACAACGTCGAGTCACGAAATCAGTTCGGGGTCTCAAATTCAAACCTTATGAAGAGCGCCTCAAATCACTTAACCTTTACCCGTTAGAGTATAGGCGTCTTACAGGTGATCTTCTTATGACTTATAGTATCCTTAATACTTCTGGTCATCCCCTTAAACAACTTCTTAAGCTTAGTCATAACACTAACCTGAGAGGTAACACCCAGAAATTGGAGACCTACATAGCAGAACAGACTGCAGACACAACTTCTACTCCGTTAGAGTTGTCAAGTGCTGGAATTCGCTGCCGACTGAGCTAGTCCAATCGACCTCCCAGGAGTCCTTTAAGAGAAAACTTGACTTATTCTTAAGGACTAAAGATAACATATTATTATGATTTACCAAACCTTTTTTTCCTCTATTATCGTTCATATACCTAGGTTCTTACCTGGAGGTATTGGTGAACCACTGCTACCAGACACGGAAGCCCGTTAAGCGAAAGCTTCTTCTATTCCGTCCTCAACCATTTGAACCATTTGAATCACACTTGGCGCACTTTATAAAGGTAGCGTTGCGACATACAGCTGATGGTGGGAAATGGAGTGCTCAACTTTTCCATTAAGTCCAGATGTGTCTTGGAGAGCTGTTCTTTCTCCATTTCCTTCCTCCTTTTTTCTATGTGATCTGTTAGACTTCACAGAAAACGTTTATACTAAGTATGGGGGTGTCCTCATTATATGTACACCATCTTTCAACTCTTTACATCCCCTTGAAACGAATGAAATCTTGTCTTTCATTAAAAGATCGCCTGTTGGTATTATTATCACACTTGACCTTTATAAGTGTCAAGGTTTTAACTTTGGTCCGAGACAAAAAGAGCGCATAAATACCCTGTTGAAATACCATACAGTTTTCACAATTGGAGATGCCGAAATAAAAACAGCTCCTAAGGGTTTTTACCTTAATATACGCCTGTCCTTTAATCTCTCACGGTCTTCTCATATTTGAATGATATCGAAGTAAGTTTTCTGTCTAGTTCGCCTGATAAAGAGACTGCATAGTTTTGGAATTACTGGACATTTAACTTTATGGCTTGTAAATTCTTGAATACTACCTACTATTCTTGATTGCTCTTCAGTGTTCTTTCCCAAGCTTTTGAGAAAAGACCGCTGTATAACAGAAAGTGCCGAGGACTGTTAGCAGGTTGTGTAGTTTGTCCTTTGGGGCCATTAATAATGTACGATTGTGGATAGTAATCTGAAATCTTGGTAACTCATGACAGATGTTAACCTATCAGATACTAACACACCCACTTCATTCCTATCTTTCTATCCACATATCTTTTGGTAAAACGAGAGGTCAATGCTTTAGAATCCATGCACACAAGCAAGTGTATAAACATCCCGTAATACTTTGTCTACCAAACACGTTAAGTGACAAACAGGTTGTTGATCTGTCCTGGTCGGCAACTTATGTTGTTAAATATGTTCGTAATTAAAAAGTTGTACGGATTTAAATCACAAGAAATGCATATCGTTCAAGTCGAGGTATTTTTTATGCCTAAATTTAAATAAATGTATTCAGTTATCTCATTTTTGATCTCGTTTGTGAAAGAAATTTGTTGACATACTTTGTTTGGAGAATAATATGTTGCGTCAAACATATAATGTTGAATAAAGCCATGAATAATATAACGATAGCATGGTATAGAGAGTAACTTATGTGGAAAATATCACGAATTTGCAGTGTTTGTCAGCTGTAGAGCTCGAAGCATCTTCTTGCGCAAATATCCTAAATTTTCAGTCTCGAGACTTCATTTGGAGGTGAAAGGCCACTGGTTCGCAACCTGGCTTAAGCAACCAGATAGCATCTCTGTGAGGATACAGATACAAGCGTCACACAAGTAGGAATTAAAATATAAATGAACCTACTCTTTTCCAACAAGTAAAAGTAAAGTAAATCAGAGTAGCCACATTATTTTTCTCTTCAGGTTCTTATTTCAAAATAGTCAATATTAATAACTTGAGATCTATGATCGATGTTTGCTTTAAGCGTCCGGATAGCACAGTTAACTCTGACGGAATATCGCTCACATAGGCGTAAGTAGACTTTTACTTGCATAATTCGAAACATTTTTATCTATCTTAAACCAGGACAAAGTGTTCTATTTCTTCGTAACAGTGAGCTTGAAGTGTAAATTAGGTGCGTATGCAAACCATAGTCGACGTTTCACCGATACGTTATTGTAATTAATATTATCTGAGACGACTGTGGAACCCACTGATCTGAATAATATTGTCTTTCAGGTCTGTAGAACAATGCAAAATAAGTTCAGATCTACCCTCAGTTTCATTCAGAACTATGGAAAAGCAACAGAAAACAGATTGTGGGTAATGTGAGAATATTCTTCGGCTCATCTAAATTTTATTATAGCACCATTATTTTTGTCGGCGTGATTTTGCCAGTGTTCTTGGCATAGAAACGAGCTGTGACGATACAGGTGCAGCTGTTATAGAAACATCAGGTAAATTACTTGGGGATTGTCTATCTTCGCAATCAAGGATTAGTGTTATGTAAGGAAACGAACCATTAATCAGTAAATATTTTTGAAGGTTAGGTGGTGTATTACCCTCCGTAGCATCTGAACTTCACAAAGAAAACATTGAATCAGTTGTAAATACTGCTATGGCCAAATCTAACATTGAATTTCGGGTATGTTTTGCTCATGGTTATTTTTTAATTGATCTATCCCTCTAGGATTTAAATTTTGTCGCTGTTACAGTAAAACCAGGTATGCCATTATCTCTAAAGATTGGAGTTAGTTTCGCTAAATCTTTAGCAAGTCGATTGAAGTAGTTTTAATTTCTATGTTGACGAATTATTTATTTGTCAAAGGATTCCTATCATACCGATTGATCATATGGAGGCTCATGCACTGACAGCTCTGTTTACTGATCCCCAGTAAGCAAACATTTTCCGTTTGAATGAATCACATCTTTTGTACGGATATAGCGTATTTAGCATTGCCAGTTGCGCTCATATAAAACCACAAATCCTAGAAGTTAATTATTGCTTATCGCCAAGTGTATTAAATACAGTCTGAGCATAAGTTGTTCAGCGATGTGTAATTTCTTTTCTCTCTGTGTGAATTACTAAACAAGTTACCTAAATAAATGCTTCAAGATGATATATAAAAGTATCGTTGATCATAAATTATAAGTCAGTTTTTTCTTATTTGAAACTAAGCATATCATGAACATCAAGAGATTTGTGATAAGTATATTACAGATTAAAATCTCATGGTTTCGAAGCTAGTAGAAATGGGGTTTGTGCTTGATTTACACGTTTTGACCCCTAATATAGTGGGTTGTGATGATTTGAAGTATTTGATTTACAGTATAAACTAGTAATCCCAGAAACAACGCAATTTAATCAAGAAGTATTAGATGAGTACGAACGAATGTATTGTGTTTGGAATTTAAAATCAAGCAGTCATCAGTACTAAAGAATCATTGGTTCATAAAAACACCACATCCGCCACAACTTAAATGAGGATCCAGATTTCTGCGAACAATCGTACCTCTTCTCTTTAGGTTCATCACGTGTCTGCCTGATTGCGTAATAGATAGACTCTGTACGATCTAGAATACACTCATTAGTATTAAAAGTAACAACTGAAATCGGAACAGACTCACCTGATTTTTGGAATTGCATACAATCATCATGTTGGTTGTTTAATGAAACCATTGATATCTAGAATTTGCTTCATAAACATTCCAACACTACCCTCCCCCACGAAATAATGTTGGGTCTTTACGTCGCAGTGTTATGACCAATTTGACGCTCTCAATTTGCATTAGCTTCCTATATCTCACACTTCGATTATTATATGTGAGTATTTGGGGATAAACAGACACGTAATTTGAGGCATTCCATCATGTGACTTAGACTTGCATAAAAATTATGATGCATACTCTTTTTGTTATTCATATTAGAACACACAGATAAATATGCATTGATATGTGTAATTAACACATGTGATTCATCTGCCTCATACTCATTAGGATAATCTTGGACTTGATTTGGATTTTCTACCAGTGCAAACTTCATGTTTGGGCAAACTGGTTCTCTGATTGCTTCGGGAAAACTTGCTATTCCATCTGATTCATCATACTACTGACCAGGGATTCTAATCGACACACATTGACTTGGAGAATATCCACTATCTAATACAATAACATCAGAAATGTGACTAGAATTCGACTCATCCGGAACATATTTGTCACATTCCTTAGGGATATCTCTAGAGATTATGAGGACCACTGACGTCAGAATTGCATTTTTCTGAAATATTTCCCTCAAATTTATCAAGAGTTTCATTAGAGAATAATGGGTCATTAAAAAAATCAGCATCTATCAAAACTGAATCTGGTTTTTGACCGTGATTTGACTCATTCAATATATTTTTCTCAGAGTTGTAAGAAATTTCATCAGAAATATGTGAATTATTGTGACAAACCATATCTGGTACAATAACACGAAACATCTGATAAGTTGGTTGATTAGAAACTTCTGTCTCACAATGACTCTGGGTTTCATTCAACTCTGGACTGCTATGTGACATTGTACCGCTTCTCGAAGTTTTAGATAAAGATAAGTGATCATTAGAAACATCCAACTTAGTATGATCACAAATTTTAGCATTAGTTTCAGCGAAATGAACTATGGTATTACAAACTGACTGAATGTGTCCAGTTTTACCGCATTTAAAGCATTTAGAATTACGAAATACACATGAATTACATGGGTGAAACATGCCACAGAACAAGCATTTACCGAATTCGTGCTCATCTTCGTGAACTGTTTCACAACTCACCAACGAATTGCTATCTGAATAACCTTGATTACGTATTGGACTGCGACGACGTAGTAAATTAACGGAACTCCTGATGTTCTGGCGAGTGATTTCATTGAATTTCTTTCCTTTACCGCATTCGAAAATTGAGTACTTTACATAGTCCAACAGTAGTTGCTTGAGAATTGCATAAGGGAGGAAAATCGTTTTGTCTGGAAATGTCAAAGTCTTTATTAGGCTGTGTGCTTCTTTTTTGATGAACGTAAGGAAAGAGCCTCAATATTAAAATCGTCATCATCTTCCTTGGTCATAGCCCAGATTTCGAGTCTTTTCATGTAATCCTCAAAAGCATCAAAATCTGAATGCATATTCAGCCGTTCCATTACAGGCTCCATCGCGACGCCAATGTGATGTTTAGGAGTATTTGAATTATGGTATAAACTAGTAATCCCAGAAACAACGCAATTTAATCAAGAAGTATTAGATGAGTACGAACGAATGTACTGTATTTGGAATTTAAAATCCAGCAGTCATCAGTACAAAAGAATCATTTGTTCACACAAACACCACATGGGTACCAATGCAATTTTCTGATTGGTATCACTTCTCGCCGAAACATTCGTTTTATTTGGTTGAGTATGCATGGTAATGTAGCGATTCGATGTGGAAACCGATCCTAATCTGTGTGATTATGTTCAAATGCGAAATGGTTTACCAACTGAAATTTTATTTCTGACAGATTGGATCTACTCGTATTGAAAAGTACTTTCTGCTTAGAAATTTAAAACATTGGATTTTATTATTAGTTTACTGCCTATTGTTTGTAATATGGGAAATGTCTGCAGTCATATTTTATTTATTTATTTAAGCATCACCTCAAAACATATATATATTGTTACAAAGAGGCATCAAATATCTGTACGCCACGCAAGTCGTTTGATTTGTGTCAGGGATGGGATACTGCCTGGGCGCCCGGGCAGTATCCCAGTCCTCACTAAATTAAATGAGATGACAACTTTCTGTGTGGCGCAAATATATCTGGTGTCTTCTTGTACCTTATGTATTCAAATAAATAAATAACATAATAGGTGGTTTTCTTAAGGGGTCACTCCTCGAGCCTTTTACCTAGAGGTCTAATCCATAAAGCGATGGAGTAACGTTAGGAGATGCAGACCCATTGTAGCTGGTGGCCAATAATAAGTTCATACGCCTTTTGTTTTTTCAGGATCCTGGAGCCTATATGCACGATATGTTGGGAATCAAGGTTCTCCAACTCCCCTAGATAGATCCTCCGTACCCACAAACCCTGTTAAAGCGCCGGCAACTCGCTTTTCATCCTCTCAATTTCGTAAACAAAACCGCCTCGAGAAGGCAGTGACTGTATACACGTCCTGTTTGTCTAGTGTCCCAGAAGTTTGGTTGCTCATCGAGCTCAAGCTCTCAACATTGACATATGTGTGACTTCATAGTGCTGTAAACTCGGCGTTTTATATATAAATATTCGTAGATACAGTACTGATTAACTTCAGAATTGTTTATTGGATTAAACAGTATTCAGCAAAGCATTTATTACTACAGTTATCAAAGCTACTAGGACTTGCTATCTTCCGTTCTGAAGCAAAATATTTTGCACAATAATGGGATAATAAGCAGAAATGGATAGTGGCTAGCAGTGGAATCCTGGACGCGCGTTTCGTCTTATTTGGGACTCGTCAGCTGGATGTACCTGCATCTCAGAGTTGATGTTCACTCTGGGACTCGAGCCTAGTACCCTCGCTTCAAACGCCATCGCGTTATCCACTCGTCCACTTAGTCCTGATAGCCACTTGCTTGTGCGATGGGGTGAAGTTTAAGTTCATTTTGTATTGTATCAGGACTCAGTGGCCGAGTGAATAACGCGATGGCGTTTGAAGCGAGGGTACTGGGTTCGAGTCCCAGAGTGAACATCAACTCTGAGATGCAGGTACATCCAGCTGACGAGTCCCGAATAGGACGAAACGCGCGTCCTGCATCCCACTGCTAGCCACTATCAATCTTTGTTTATAAAGCTTGTGACTTCAGGTAATATCGAGGCATTACGCATAAGATGTACATATGCCAGCAAGAAACTGATCAATTGCAGTCCAAAATAACACTGGGAAGATTCAAACAAACTATACAAATTGAACATAATGGGGTAATGTATATAAAAATGCTTTCTACATAACTGATTTAGAGTAAATAGTATTTATCTCATTGTTTCACCACCTTTATAAATATAAATTCTTTATAAAAACGTTTTAGGTTGAAATTTCCCTATATGATCCTCTTGATAAGTGGTGGTCACGGTATTTTGGGTATTGTTCAAGGGTTAGAGGACTACGTTTTATTAGGTACAGCATTAGACGCCTCCCCAGGCGATGTTCTTGATAAGGTGAGTTACATATATTTGTGTAATTCCAATTTTATATTGTAACTTATGTATTTTATCGATCGCATGACATTGATCACCACCCAGTGATCAATCAGTTGTGATTACATCTCAGTCCTACAGGAGGTCGGTCGCCACCCTAATAGCTTAGTGGTAACGTTTCTGACTATGAAGCTGGGTGTAACAGGATCGAATCCGTCAGGGGGTACCAGTTCCCTCAAGATTACAGGTACACCTTGCTGACGAGTGCCAAGTAGCACAAAATCCGGGTCCAGGGTTTCCTGTTGACCACCTCCAATCACCATCCTATCTCAACATAGCGCACACAGTGTCGAGTCACCTAGACTAGTGGTCACATTGCAAGTTGATCAATAACATTCGATCAGCACTAAGACGGACTTGACACGCATGACATTGATCACCACCCAGTGATCAATCAATTGTGAAATAAAGAAGAGAAAGGTTCAGTCAGCAAATAAATGCAGGAAAGTAGTATCCAGTATAAGGTACAGTTCAGTTAGAAATGAAGCCTTGGAAGTTCATCTCACTTCTATAAAAAGTGTAGTGAGCTAGAGCAAGGTCATCATTAGCTTTTATTCTGAGCCATGTCTGATAACATCTCAGGTCACTGAGCCTCACCTTCTCTAGGACCAAGTCAATAGAGTTTTAGTGGGACGACATGTGTTAGTCCCATGCAGCTGTCTTTTATACTACGACACGATATCATATTCTAATCCCCTACCCGCTTTTACAATCAATCCCAGCAAAATAGTGGACAACCTATAATTCATTGGGATGACTTTTGTAATGCATAATTACGCCGCAGACACCAGTGTTTCGAGATCATGACACTAAATGAATTACCATTTCACAGATACTGACCGTTGTAGCTTGGTAAAATACTGTTATTAATATTTATTACATCCTGTGGATACATCTGACTACTTGTCCCCGTATAACTAAACATGGACTAATACGGCCCGATATAAGGAAATCTAGACTATAAAAACTGTGTATAATGCACTACAGTTTCTACTGATTCACCACCAGTTCGATAAATATATTGAAATACACTGAGTTATATGTCATTTGCTTATTTGGTCAGTTGTTATATTTAACACAGCATTAATTAATCAGTGGCCTAATACATGTATACAATTTTCACCAACAAATAAAACTGCTTTGAGTTATAATTATAAGTTACCGAGTTTTCTATTTTCATCCTCCTCAACACTGGTAGGTTACTGAACAAATTAATCAACCTCCGAAGATTGTGGTGCTAATGCAGCCATATACATATCGTGGGACAATATGTTATTGCTCAAAAGTTTTAAGTCACTAGGCGAAAAATAATTTCTCAAAAGTTTTCTGGCTATTTAGTGTAATTCAACAAACTTAGAGTTCAGATCAAACCATCTAAGTAGTAAAGGCGGAATTGTGAAAGGCTTTTGTAAAGTTTTAGAACAACATATATAAGTTGTTCTAAATCACAATATGGGAATTTTTCAAATTTCGTAAAATTGTTGATTTTTTTCACCAACCAAATAAAATGGTCGTTAATACGTGCGTTACGTTGTTGATGCTGTTGTCGTTGTCAATGCTTCAAAATAGAGCAATCCGTATATTTCTTGTATTTATAGCTTTCTAGGCGTCTGAAACTAAATCGTTTGTCAGATGAGTGTTTGAAAGGCGTCGCAGGTGGTAAGGCTATCGAAATAATTGCAAAGACTTATAATGGTGATCATCAACGCTTCAATCTACCTTTACCGCGTTCACAATCTAAGGATTGTGATTTCTCATTTACTGGAATCCATGCGGCTGCAGAACAGTTGATAAATAAGTTGGAATTTGAAAATCGTGGTACGTGAGTGGTTTGTTAAACAGTTATATATTGCTTTTTTATTGGTCTAATTTGCCCTACTTCCGTTAAGGAAGTTCTAGCAAAATGGTGAAAAGGGTTAGTCGTGAAGATAAGAGTAGAACTCGATGTTGATTGGTTATTGTCATTTCCTTCTGTAGTCATTTCGTCCTGTGGTTTGCGTAGGATTGATTGAAGTGTTCATCCAGACTGGCATAACTCAGGTGATTGTATTATATAGAATACGTGGAGCGGTAGCTGGTTTTCTGCTACTAGATTGTAGATTCAGACCCCACTCTATCTACGTTTGTCTGGACAACTGAACGTGGTTACTAGCCACTCAGAACGTAGCTTGAAACCTCAAATCTGGTTCTTGGTAAGTGAGTATCCAAAATACGATGCCACAAATAATAAACCTCATTAAACATAAAATTTGAATCTTCTTGATGCAAAACCGAGTGACGTATTCATAGTTATTGGATTTGAATGTGATCGGTAGTCTTCAATTAAGTCTCTTTAAAAATACTATAAAACTACTATTCGGTATGTACTCATGTAAAATAAGAATGCAAACCTGTTACCAAGAAATATTTTCTCATTTCTAAGAGTGTTTATTTTCCTTCATCTTAGTAACGTTTCACTGTATTGGATTTTTTTCGGTAATGAAAATGCTAGGTAGTGGATGCGCTTTATCGATCCAAGATATTGCTGATGTTTGTGCATCTGTACAGTTCTGTATGACAAGATTAATCTGTCGCCGTGTTCAGCGTGCTATTGAATATTGTTTGTTGAATACTGATTCCAGAGCCAGTGTAATTAGAAATTATCCTACAGCTTTGGTAAGACGTATGTTTCATTATATCAATTTTGTTTGTTTTATACTCATCATTATTTCCTTATGTCCGATTAATTTATATCACGTGGTACGACCACCAATTACTGGCACCGTCTTATACGACCAGAATAATGACGCATAAAATAGTACGAGTAGCCTAGAGTTCCTATTAGTCCTTCAAGATAGTAGCTTCTCTCCTAACCCAGCTGGTTTAGGTCAGAACGCCAAAATCAGCCTCCGCTAGATGAATCATATATTTCAGACATACTGTGGTGTATGCTACTTATATCGACATAAGTAGTATATTACGCTAGTCAGGAATAGAATGTCTGGTAGCAAAAGGAACGGTCAAGTTTTAGACAATTGATTGACATTTTGCAAATTAAGTATTCACTGTTTGGTTCTCTGATTTTACTAAGACCTTCTGTAATTTTGTGTTCAAGTACATTCGATTGTCCCCACTTGTGTTCTCGTTCACTACAACACTGGTTTTATATACAAGCCAAACAGACCACATGACACCATAAGTAGGAAATAACAATCATACAAGATCAAGCCGAGAAGTGGCTGTGATTGCGAGATACTGTAACTAATAAGTTGGGAATATCTTAAGAATAGTAAATCGTATAATAATAGTCAATAGGTCAAATAAAAGCTTATAATAATAAGAATATGAATATACATGTAATATAGTTACTTATTAGTTATACAATAAGAGTATATATAATAATGGTCCATAAATAAATCCTAGCCGTTACTATTCACTTATTATTCTCCTGGATATAACAGTCATCATCGTTTTTTAGCAACATTAGTGGATAACAAGAGTTTTTCGGTTTGAATATTTCAGGTTTCAGTTAATTGTTGGAATGTTATGATTCTCTTAATTCATTTCAAAAAATCGTGCATCATGAACCGTCAGGTCAGGTCAGCTACAACGTAGGACCAGGCACATATATGCATCGGTCCAAGTTGCCATACCTCGTTAGCACAACAAGAGGAACACCGGATTCATAATAGTTAATCTAGTGTTGGTAGTAGTATATAAATTATAGGTTGTATATAAGGATATAGTACAGGAAGGAAGAGAGATATGAAGCAATTTTAGTCTCAAGGTTTAAGGGAAGATAAAGAGTGTATACACCTACGCCATTGTGACCGATTCTGAGCTATGTCACCTAGAGTCTCCAACCATTGGTTACGATAGTCTCGCGGACCCCAACCAGGTAGTCTGCATCTGCCAACATGGCTCAGGCTAGAAGTTAGTGACTTCAAACACTGATGCCATGTTTTGGTTTGGCCGCCCCTAACTCTCTTCCAACCGTCCCCAATACTAGTCATCATAGCGCGTCGTGGTAATCGGTGTTCAGGCATACGTAACACATGGCCCAACCATCTCAGTCGATGAAGATTCATCACCTCATCAACTGATTTACCATCGTTCCCTAATACCCTGCGTCTAACCTCACTATTACTTACCCGGTTATCCCAGCAGATGCGAGCAATATTTCTAAGGCATCTGTGGTCAAATACTAGTAACCTACGAGTATCTTCAACTCTTAATGGCCATGTTTCACAGCCGTAAAGTAGGACAGAGCGAACTGCTGCGTAGTATACTCGTCCCTTAATTGACAGACGGATATCTCGTCTACGCCATAGGTGACGTAAGTTGCCAAAAGCCAAACGAGCTTTTTGAATCCGTGCTGAGATTTCGTCTGACACCAACCCATTAGGGCTGATCAGACTTCCAAGATAAGTGAAGTTGTCGACGCGTTCGACTACTTCACTTCCTATCCTTAGTTCGAGTGTTGACGCAGGCCAGTCCTGGAGTAACAATTTACATTTGGATGGGGAGAAACGCATCCCAAACATCCTGGCATTATTACTGAGTTCCAACAGAAGACTCTGCATTTTGCCAGCGTCTTCACCAAACAGGACTATGTCATCTGCGTATTCTAAGTCGCTTAGTGGTCCCCCTGGTAGGAGATCAATTCCTGAAAATTCAGTCGATGAGAGTGTTATTTCCAGCAACAGGTCTATAATGAAGTTAAACAAAAGTGGGGATAGTGGACAGCCTTGACGGACACCACTTGAGGTTGTAAAATCATATGACAGTTCGCCATAAGCTCTCACTCGACTGGTAGTGTTCGAGTAAAGAGTCTTCACAAGGTTTATGTACTTCTCAGGTACACCTTTCAATGACAGACACTGCCACAGAACCTCTCGGTCTACAGAGTCAAATGCTGCTTTCAAGTCAAGAAAAACTATCATTGTCGGACGCCGATAAGCGTGTCTGTGCTCTAAAACTTGACGAATGGTGAATATGTGGTCGATACAGCCACGACCAGGTCTGAAGCCAGCCTGATTTTCTCGTGTTTGGAGTTCACGAGTCTTAGTTAGGCGCCCGATAATTATTGAGGCTAGTATTTTAGATGCTATGTTAGTCAGACTAATCCCTCTATGGTTATCGCAGGATGATTTTGACCCCTTTTTATATATTGGGACAATCAGTGATTGTGACCAGTCGGATGGGATTACATCCGTCTCCCAGATTTTAACCAGAATATTAGTCAACCTAATCGCTAAAATCGGACCACCATATTTAAAGACCTCTGGAGCCAATCCATCTGGACCAGCTGCTCTTCCCCGTTTCAGATTACCTATAGCCTTTTGAACTTCAAGTAGGGTCGGGGGGCCTACTTCAATGTTCCATTCAGGTTTTCTAGGAATAGTGGGTAGTTGTGCAGTAGCTGAAGGCCAGCTAAACTGCTCCTTAAAGTGTTCCGCCCATCGTTCTAAACGTTTGGGTAGAGAGCAGATAAGGGTTCCATCTTTTTCCGAGATTGTCTCACTTACACTTGACTTCTTAATTCCAGTTTCTTTTATTAGTCTGAATAGTTGCCTGGTGTTGCCTACAGCCGCTGCCTTTTCCATCTCTTTTGCTTTCGTTGCCCACCACTGCTCACGATCGTTCCTTAGACTTTTAGTTAACTTAGATCTAATTTGTTTACGCTCTTCGTCATGTTCAGAGCCTGATGGGATGAGTTTACGCGAATCCATCAGTGAAATAGACTTAGAGGAAATCCACTGGTTTTTTGGAGCCCTATGGTTTAAATGACTAATAGATGTTACTGCCGTTTCCACAGCTGTTCGTGTGTCTTTCCAAGCAGCATCTGGGTCAGTCTCGTTTACAGAACTGCCTAGCTGTGAACTCAGTTGTTTCTGGAATTCGCATTTGGCTTTCTCGTCCTCCAGTTCAATCCTAATGGGTCTTCTTAATGTACTTTTCCTGCGTCCATTGAGGCGCAGACAAATGCGTGCTCGTATTAAAGCGTGTTCAGAGTCTAAACAAGTATTCCAATACGAGCGACAATCTTCTATTCAGCCTCTCCAACGATGACTGATGACAATATGGTCTATTTGAGTCCATCGTTGGTTTGGTGCAGGTGGTCGCCATGTTAGACGATGTCTCTCCTTATGTTTAAAATTAGTGCTTGCTAAAAATAAACGATTGAAACAGACGATCACCATTATCGGTTCGTTGAGCCGGAATACTAAAACACCCACCTAAATGTCTTTCTGTTTGATTCAAGCTGCCTACCTGGGCATTAAAGTCACCCGCTATGAGTACTATGTCTGAGCGCTTAGCTTTCTGAAGAAGCTCAGAGAGCTTTCTGTAAAAGTCATCTTTCATTTCATCATGGCTGCAGTCGGTGGGAGCGTAGGCAGAAACGACGAAAAGGCAACGACGTGTGTCCCTATCCTTCCGAGTTCTTACGGAGCCATTTAGCCGGACAGCACACAGGCGACTGTTAACGGGGATCCATTCTAATAGTGCCTGTTCTGCCCTTGTACTTAGTGCTATGCCTACACCTGCAAGTCCGCGAGAACTAGCCAACGGGTCGCCAGATACACGGAGGGTGTATTTCGTCGGCTGTCCATTTTGGCGAGGTGAGGTCAAGTGAATGACCACACTGGGATCCTGTATGCGTGTTTCGGAGACACAGCATATATCAATGGTACGAGATTCTAGGGTTTTAGCTAAGGAGGCCTGTTGACCGATTTGACCTAGGGCACGTACGTTGAAGGCTCCAATGTGTAGTTTGGAGCGAGGTTTAAGTAGACCTGGGACAGTGTTCCGCGCACTAGAATCGTTGGCCATGGCGACACTTGAGGAGGAAACCGGAACAGTAAGTTTAGTGTTGAAAGTCAAGGTAGAAGGAATAGTAGGAATTGAAGGAGATTGATTATGAATACGGTGGTCTTGAGTGCTGTTAGAGGTATGAGGGCAGTTATCACTTCCCGGTTGCCCACACCGTGGAAGGATTCTTCTAGAGGTACCTGAAAAGGAAATTGGGTTAGGAGTGGTCTTAATGACCTGAGAGCGTGACCGCAGTGCCCAAGGGACAACTGCTTGAGGTCGGTCGCACATGACCTTTTTGTGGGTAACTTTCGTGTTAGCTCCGTACTTGTTGGGAACTTACCGCCGGAGACGGAAATCCGTGGGATAAGGCGAGGTGTGCATTTTTAGGGTCGACCTTTTTTAACCCCACCCCTCCTTGTGGGAAGGCAGCATCGCTGTCATGCTGGTTGTCTGAAGGAAACACCTTACCGCTTTCACACCTCTGTACAGTCAGCAGTACGACTTCGCCTTCGGACCTTGGGTTTGCTGCTTTTAGTCTCACCGCTCTTCAACCGACCTGTCTGGCATGGTATGACCTCGAGGAACGACTGTTCCAGCCAGCATAGCTCGATTGCTTCATCACGATAGGCAAGCCCGACCACCACGTCAAGGTAGCAGCAACGATCATGAACCGACCAGTTACTTAATAATTTTCTGCATATGATTTGAGGAATTAACTTTTGTTTGTAAGTCTTATGTTGGTTAGGTGGATAAATGTAATTCGATGGTAACCTTCCTCATATAAATTATTTTTAACTAGATCAGTGGTATGGAACTGATTTTCGACATTACAGCTCTGTTTTCCACAACGCCTTCGCTGCTAATGCGCATTTGGTACACGAACGGAATAGCTTCTCGAGTTGGGTGTTTAAATGTGACCAGTATACATATCTTCGTGCTAGTGCTTTCATCCCATTTCTTCCAATATGTCTTGCGTGCAACTGTTCAACTGCTGCTTTCAGCTTTTCTGGAATTATCACACGTTCAGCAAACGGAAGGTAGTCATCGTTGGTTGAGGGAGATAGTATGCTCTGGCAAAGCCGTTGTAGCTATGTAGAGCTGATCTTTGATGACCACCCTTCTAGGTGGAACTTTTCAATTTCTTGTAGGACTGGGTTTCGAAGGGTTTCTTTTGTGACCTCATTTGAAAACACTGGAGTGTTTCGAATGGCATCTGCTACTATACGCCTTATTTTTGGATTTAAAGCAACGGAAGCTTGATCATGTTCTCCGGTCCAGGGTGTTGAACTTCAATTAACCAAGAGAGGGCGTCGACTTGACCGATAGTATTTGTTGACTGATATTTGGTATTGAAGTCATAGCCCAGAAGCATTGTCGCCCAGCTCTGTAATCTGTTAGAAGTACAGACAGAGATTCATTTCCTAAAACCGAAAATTGCAATAGAGTAAAAGTACTGCCGTAGAGCGTTTTATGGAATCTTTTAAGAGCGAAAATGATTGCAAGGACATCCTTTTCAGTTTGGCTGTAGTTCCGTTCGGCTCGGGTGAGTGATCTAGAAACATGAGCAATCATCTAGTCTGATTTGTCGGGAAACACGTGAGACCACTGCTCCAACTCCATGACTAGAGGCCTCTGATGCAACAACAATTCCCAAGTTGGGATGGAAATATGTTAAAACAAACCTCGAGGCGAGCATTAAATTTGACTTTGTGGAAAGATGCTCGATATTTTTCTAATCCCTTTCAAGGTTTATCTTTTGATGGTAATTCATTCAGGGGACCTCTCATCGGATACATTTCATGGAGATATGTGCTGTAATGACTTATAGTGAATGTGTTTTTGGATCTAATGCGTGTACGCCCTAAGGCTGAAGACAAGAAAGTTTGTAGATATGCCTTTTTGGACAACTGCTGAGATGCTATCCTAGTCAAGTCAGGTACCGTACGACTTTTAGGATTATCGTCGGAAAGTGTGACGATTATCGCCAAAAAGACAGGCGGAAATAAGTTGGCCAGATCGACAACCAAAGCTTTTGAAGTCTGCACATTAGATGGAAGCGAATGTGCATATATCGAACAGGCTGTTATGGTAAATGAATTGTCGGTTCATATTCCAAGAAAATCTGTAAAGGGAAATGCTAAGAAATGGCTCCATCTTATGGATTTACTTCTGCCAGTGTTAGTGGGCGACGAAGTTATGTTGCTTATTGGTTGTGATATGCCTGAAGCCCATTTTGTCCTGGAACAACGGTTGGGTTAGAGTTCTTATGCTATTAGGACGCTGCTGGGGTGGGTTCTTTCTGGACCCAATTTTTCAACTCTAAACCTCCTCGATTTGTTGCCGTACCACTTGTGTAGTTTGAAGGTATCCAACATATTTTTGAGAGGGATATTTCTGTTTCTATTTGGGCGATTTGGGTCTAACCGTTTGCGTATCTCGTTCTGGTGTCTAGTTCACCTGTCTTCTCCCACCCCTACTTCATACATAAATTTGCCTAGACTTCTGGTCAAACGTGCTTCATTTCAGGGATTGTGGTTTAGTCTTTAGTCATGAAAAACCTCCAGACATCGAACTATTAAGCTTCAACTTGCAATTTCTTCCCGTCTAATTCCAAAACACTCGATGTATATAAAGTATGGTTTTTTAATCTCATTTATCTTTTTATGGAAATATCATTCGAACTAATCAAATGTTGATTTTGTGCTTGAAGTCATATCAGTATTTACAAGTTGGCGGCTGATTAGATTTCAGTAGGCATTCGAAAAGCTGATTGGGTGTTTTCTAACATCTGCTACTTGTGACTTAGGCTTTTGAATGTAAAGAACATTTTTAGATTTATAGTATTTGATTATAATTTTTGCATAACAATTATCGCATGCTGTAGAACACCGATTAAAGTGACTCCAAAGTTAAATGCAGATTTCAGTTGGACATAGCGAATCGGTTTATCAGATTATAAAATTTCGTCCCCTGAGGTAGCTGGAACGTATTTCTAATCAATGCCTACCTCAATGCACAGTGTTGATTAGCGTAAAAGTGGTCTGAAAGAAACCCAGAAACACTCAAATTAGTATAAGGTGTCGATTCATGGATATACTACCAATCTGAGTCATGCTGGTGTGTTTGGATTCCCATATTGGCGTACTTACATTAGTCGTTATCAGAGTTTAATCGACATGGTTCGAAATGGGTTTCAGTAGGGCAGTTGAAATTGTTCCTTTCCTGATCCTAAATTTCAACAGTAATTTATACTCTTTATTCTCTTACGTTTGATCGTTATTTCACTATAATAGACACTAATATTCAACCCGTTTATAATACATCATGTTAGTTTTACCTTGATGTGCTGGTGTAGTGAAAACGAGTAGTCTTTATTCGTAATTAAATTTGTCCTGATATATTATTGTGCATATGGTTTTTAATATTGATATCCAATTAATAATTTTGTTTAGGTTGTTTCTGGTGGGGTTGCTTCTAATTGTGTTATTCGTGCCGGTTTAACCGAGGTAGCTAATCATTATAATTTGAGATTTGTTGCTCCTCCACCAAGTCTATGTACTGATAATGGAATTATGATAGCATGGTAGGTCAAACGTTTATGGTTATAAACATTAAATATTTAAAAAGTTTCTTTCCTCAAGGCTACTTAATAGACTTATACTATCTCACCATCATGTGACAGTTGTAAATAGTAATTAAACATGTCAATTTGATTTTTTTAATGACTCTGATAGCGGTTTAACGCAATTGGAAAAATGCTCTGGATGTATGTTTCATGCTTGCACTCGCTAGCGAAGTTCATCTGTAATCTTTGAAGAAATAATATTATAGTAATCCTAACTTATCACTCCAATGCCGTAATTTGAGATGTTACCACTGAAATATTTGGGATGTGATTGAGATGTCTATACTAATCGCTCGCTAAATAATCATCAGCATAAAATAGCCATAAGGTTCCGAACTGGGATAGTGATAACGTTGAGTTTCACGAAAACATCAGCTTTTACAAATCGCTGATATGCTGTCCTAATGACTACAAGCTAGGATAAAACTTATATCCAACACTTCTTGGCACTTGTTTCCAATCATTATTTAAGCAAGGTGTATCATATTATCTAGTCACTTAGCCTTTTTTAACGACATTGGTACGTAATCGATCAACACAAAAAAACTAAACAGCATAAAGATGGTAGATGCGCAGTTACAGATTTGTGTTGACATTGTCATTTCCCATTGGGATAATCTGTAGACAATGATCTTAACTTGCTGCTCAATTGTGTTAGGAAAGTATACCTGACTCATTCAACCAGAGAACTAGTGCATTGTTGCTTTTTGAACTTCATGGAATGTATATGTAACTTTTATAGCATCATTGAATTAGGCCAGGGAAAATAAATCAAATTAAAGTCCTCCTTACAAATTATACAGTCAGAAGAAACATTTCTAAAGGGATACAAATAAAAACTTTTGTACAGTAGAGGCTACAGCTGTTTACCAAATCAAGCTTACCCTTGGTTTTTTTGAAGAAAAAAACAGTATGTTCAGTCCATCATTTGCCATGGACGTAGCTTTACTTTCTATCTTCTATAATCTATCGCTTTCTTCTATCCCTTTCTAGTTATTTGCTCAACTATTAGTAAACCATTACTGCTACATTTAATTGTTCTTTTCGTAATATTTATCAAGTAGACAATTATCTTCACATTAACATTTTTTTCGTTAGCGGTTGGATCATAACACGATTTCCTCTCAATATCTGATGCATGTGAATAATCTTTAACACTATTCTATTTTACTATGGACTAATAGTTTTGATAAGCAAATTAAATATAAGTTCGATTATGCAGGTGAAGCAAATGAAATCCCTGAAAAGAAAATCCTCTTCATTGAATGGTCTTTATTCCTTTCCAATAACCCTGTGGGTCTCTCTCGTTATTTGATCATAAAATCACCGATAGATAGTAAGGTTAGACGCAGGGTATTAGGGAATGATGGTAAATCAGTTGATGAGGTGATTAATCTTCATCGACTGAGATGGTTAGGCGACGCGTTACGTATGCCTGAACACCCATTACCACGACCCGCTATGATGACTAGTGTAGGGGATGGTTGGAAAAGAGTTAGGGGCGGCCAAACCAAAACGTGGCATCAGTGCTTGAAGTCAATAACTTCCAATCTGAGCCATGTTGGCAGATGCTGACTACCTGGTTGGGGTCCATGTAACTATCGTAACCAATGGAAACTCTAGGTGACATGGCTCAGAATCGATCACAACGGCGTAGGTGTATACACTCTTTATCTTCCCTTAAACCTTGAGATTAAAATTGCTTCATATCTCTCTTCCTTCCTATTCTATATCCTTATATACAACCTATCTTTTATATACTACCACCACTAAATTAACTATTTCTGTGAATCCGGTGTTCATCTTGTTGTGCTAACGAGGTATGGCGACTTGGACCGATGCATTAATGTGCCTGGTCCTACGTTGTAGCTGACTGACTGATTCACTGTTCCTCTTAACAGATCATTCATCAGTAAAAGATGATTTTTTTTAAAAAGCATAACGGGTATCATTTGATACAATACATCACAATAAATTGGTAGGAAACCTGTTTTATTTCAACAAATCATATCCCCATAAATTATCCCTAAAACTCTATTTAGTTGAATTGCTGAAGATAGAACCACTAGGGTCAGCCAATTGTTTGCATTATGTTGATTTATCTAGATAGCAAGTTGTTGATCAATAATAAAAATATTACAAAGCAACTAATAATTCTTCCATTTAAATCTCACTGTACGATAATTTATTCTCCTAAATACTATTTAATTACTGGCCCGAATTAATTGTGTATCACTCTCTTTCATTACTAATAAGGAATGGAGTTTTACTTCAAAAAGAAAATTCTTCTCGTATTATAGAGGATATCTCTTCTGTTGATTTCTGTCCAAGGTGAAGTTGATTCGTTCTTATTTTGTATATGTTCATGTTAATTAGTTGTGATTTCATGAGTGATAATAATATTTTCAGTGGAAAACATGAATTTCAAAGATATTTCACTCGTTCTACAAAAAGCAAAATGAGGCATATATATATATATATATATATATATATATATATATATAACAGTTCTTGATGAGAAAGCACCAGATACATATGCGCCGCACAAATCTCATTTGCTTGTGTGAGGGATGTGATACTGCCTGGGTACCCAAACTGAAGCAGGTGGTTTTCTTAGGGGACCACACCCGGAGCCTTTGACCTAAGGGTCTCATCCACAAGGCAGTGGGGCATCGTGAGGAGATGCAGTCCCATGGTTGCCGGTAACCAACGATTGATTCATACGCAATTTGTCCCCTCAGGATCCTGGAGCCCATGTGCACCATTGGCTTGGAATATTGATTTCCCAACTCCCCTAGGTGAACTATCCGTGTCCACCAACCTGGTTAAAGCGTCGGACATTCACTTTTCGTCCTCTCAATTCCGTAAACAACACCTCTGTCACGAGAAGGCAGTGAGTGGGACTTCCCTGGCAGAGGCTATATACGCGTGGCCATGTGTGAGCATTTGGAGAGGGAGAGCGGACTCTCCCCACTCTCGGCCGTACCAAGGCATTTAGCAGCAAGCAAACAAGTACATTGTAAATGGCTTAAATAACTGATAAAATTATAAGTCCTCCAAGACCTTCACAATTCGCGTAAATGCATCTATAGGGAATCACAAAGCTTGAAAACAAGAGTTAAAAAAATTGTACGAATTACAGTCAATGACATAATTCGAACGGAAAACATAGAAGTGTTATAACTCATAGTGTAGAAAAAGTTAGCAATACATCTAAATCATTGTCATCGATTTTTATTCGTGCCATCTAAAATTTCGAATTGTTGTTGAATGAACCTCAAACTAAGACATTTACGCCTAACAATTAAGAATTTAAGTAAACTCTTGATGTTTTATTTTTGTTCGGCTAGCCCTATGCTTATTCTAATTCAATTCTCTACTACACTGTGTTTAGGATGTTGAGAGCAGGTGTCCAGTGGTCATTTGTAATATTCGTAAACTCAGGTTGATTCATCATCGTTACTTTAGTAGTTACGACATTACTCTTTGAGTAGTCCCATCATACTTACTTACTTACTTACGCCTGTTACTTCCAATGGAGCATAGGCCGCGGACCAGCTTTCTCCAACCCACTCTGTCCTGGGCTTCCTTTTCTAGTTCTATCCAGTTCTTGTTCATTCTTCTCATGTCTGTTTCTATTTCTCGGCGTAATGTGTTCTTTGGTCTTCCTCTTCTCCGTTGACCTTCAGGATTCCATGTGAGGGCTTGTCTTGTGACGCAATTGGCTGATTTCCTCAAGGTGTGCCCAATCCACTTCCAGCGCTTCTTCCTGATTTCTTCCTCCACCGGATGGAATCTGGTTTGTTCTCTCCCACAGTAGCTTATTGCTGATAGTGTCTGGCCATCGGATCCGAAGTATTTTGCGTAGACAGCTGTTGATGAACACTTGTATCTTCTGGATAATGGCTTTCGTATTTCTCCACGTCTCCGCCCCATACAGTAGAACTGTCTTGACATTTGTATTGAAAATTCTAACCTTGGTGTTGGTTGACAATTGTTTTGAGCTCCAGATGCTTTTCAGTTGTAGGTATGCTGCTCTTGCTTTGCCGCGCCCCCACATCTGCATCTGATCCACCGTGTTCATCAATGATGCTGCCCAGATATGTAAAGGTTTCCACATCCTCCAAAGCTTCTCCGTCAAGTGTAATTTGATTGGTGCATATTGTATTGTATCGGAGAGTCTTGCTTTTCTCTTTGTTTATATTGAGACCTACTGCTGCTGAGGCTGTTGCTACACTGGTCGTTTTCTCCTGCGTTTGTGATAGAAGAGCCAGATCATCCGCGAAGTCTAAATCATCAAGCTGCATCCTGCCTGTCCACTGTATCCCGTGATTTCCTCCAGACGTTGACGTCTTCATGATCCAGTCGATGACCAGGAGAAAGGGTGAGGGTAAGCAACCCTGCCTAGCACTGCTCTTTACCTCGAATGAGTCGGTGAGTTGTCCTCCGTGGACGATTTGGCAGTTTAGTCCATCATAGGAGTTCCGTATGATATTTACTATCTTCTCAGGCACGCCGTAGTGTCGAAGAAGCTTCCATTGTGTCGTCCTGTCCTCACTATCAAATGCCTTCTCGTAGTCGATGAAGTTGATGTAGAGTGATCAATTTCATTCGATTGATTGTTCCACAATGATACGTAGAGTTGCGATTTGATCTGTGCACGATCTATCCTTACGAAATCCAGCTTGTTGATCTCGAAGTTGGGCGTCCACGGAATCCTTCATCCTGTTTAACAATACCCTGTTGAAGACTTTCCCTGGTATTGAGAGGAGAGTGATGCCCCTGTAGTTGTCGCACTTGCTAAGATCACCTTTCCTTGGTATCTTGATCAGAAGTCCTTTTTTCCAATCTGTTGGCACTTGTTCTTTGTCCCAAATCTTACTGAAGAGGATGTGGAGTATCTTGGCAGTTGCGGCTACATTTGATTTCAGTGCCTTTGCCGGGATGTTGTCTGGTCCCGCTGCTTTGCCACTCTTGACTTGTCTAATGGCCATGCTGATCTCTTCAATTGTTGGTGGGCCAATATCGATTGGGAGGTCCGTAGGTGCTGCTTCGATGTTGGGTGGGTTCAGTGAAGCTGGTCGATTCAAGAGTTCTTTGAATTGTTCTACCCACCTGTTTCGTTGTTCTTCAATGTCGGTGATTACTTTGCCTTCCTTGCTTTTCACTGTTCTTTCTGGCTTACGGTAATTTCCAGCAAGTTTCTTTGTTGTATCATACAATTGTCTCATGTTTCCTTCTCTTGCAGCCTTTTCCGCTGTCGTTGCTAAATCTTCAACATATTTACGTTTGTCGGTTCTGATGCTCCTCTTCACTTGCTTGTTTGCCTCTGTGTATTCGGCTTGTGCCTTGGCTTTTTCCGCTCTTGTTCGGCTGATATTGATTGCTGCCTTCATCTTCCTCCTTGCTTCAATCTTATCAAGTGTACCAGCAGTGATCCATTCCTTGTGATGGTGCTTCTTTTGGCCCAGAACCTCTTGACACGTTGAAACGATTGCCTCCTTGATACCTTTCCAGTTGCTCTCCATGGTAGTCCCCTCTCCATTGAGTAGGTCATGAAAGGCCTGGAACCTGTTGCTGAGGGCTATGTTGAATTTGTTGAGTTTGTCAGCATCTCGAAGAAAGGCCGTATTAAACTTTTGTGATGTTGTCCGCGCCGTTGTCCATTGCTTCTTGAGTTTTAGTTTCATCTTGGCGACCAGCAAATGATGATCGGATGCTATATCAGCTCTCCTTCTGGTTCTCACATCCTCCATCGTCCTCCTGAACTTTTTGTTGATGCAGATATGGTCGATTTGATTCTGTGTAGTGTGGTCCGGTGAAATACAAGTGGCTTTGTGTATGTTTTTGTGTGGGAATATGGTGCCACCTATGACCAGTTTATTAAAGGCACATAGGTTTGCAAATCTCTCACCATTTACGTTCCTTCCTCCCAGTCCATGTTCTCCCATGACGTCTTCGTATCCAGTGTTGTCCATTCCAACCTTAGCATTGAGATCTCCCATCAGAATTGTCAGGTCCTTGGTTGGGCACTTCTCGACGATCGACTGCAGCCTATCGTAGAATTGGTCTTTAGCGTCTTCATCGTAGTCGTTGGTCGGCGCATAGCATTGGATGACGTTCATTGTAATGCCCTCTCTCTTTGTTCTGAAGGAGGCTTTGATGGTCCTTGGTCCATGAGATTCCCATCCTATAAGTGCATTTTGTGCTTTTCTGGACAGCATCAATGCAACTCCTTGTGTATGTGGTGCATTTTCTTCTTCATGACCGGAGTATAACAGAAGTTCTCTTGAAGACAGTCGTTGTTGTCCAACCTGCGTCCAATGTGTTTCGCTGATTCCATGAACCTCCAGGTTGTATTTTCTCATTTCTGCAGCAATTTGGAAAACTCTTCCGGTCTCCCACATTGTTCGGACATTCCATGTACCTACAAAAATTGTTGCTCTGGTTGTAAGAAGGTGCATCGGCCTCATGACTTCCGAATGAACTCGGCTTTCATCATGAGACGTCATAATTATTCCTTCTACTCCCAGGGCAGAGTTTTAAATGTTTTTTTTTCTGGTTAGCGTTTTTTTTAGCGAGTTGATTTTCTACGGGATGGGGTCGCTAACCCCATTCCCAACCCTCCTCCTTTACCAGGGCTTGGGACCGGTAGTAACCCCCAGAGGAGCTACAGGCGGAGTTAGTCCCATCATAGCCAAGCACTAATTCAAGTACATCTATGATCAAATACTAATAAATTGTTTCATAGTTATAAAAATGAACTTCTGATACATTTTATATAATACCTCAAATTTATCTCTAATAGTATACGAATGGAAAACAGTGATTTGTTTTCTCAATGATCATAGAGACAAAAATATTGGCTCAAGTTCGTTATTTTATAAATTCCTATCCCACTGACAACACAGTTGATGTATATATATGCGTAAGAATGATTGATAGCCTATGCCAATATTGTAACTAAATCCTCTTACACTATTTCATTACAATTCAGACTTTAAAACTCATATTGCTTCAGTCTGGGAACCTGGGCAGTATCACAGCCCTCACACAAATCAAATGAGATTTGTGAGACGCATATTTATCTGGTGCTTCCTTGTACCAATATTTATGTGTTTAAATAAATAAATAAAAATTCATAGTGTCACATTATAGATTATCAAAGTAGTAATATCATTGTTTGATGAATATATATCCTTTCTTTTTTATCCCCTCAGGTCTACATTTGGTGTTGACTGTCGAGAAGATGTGAAACAAGCTAACATATCAATTGAACCAATTAAACTATCCAATGATATTTTTCAACTATGAGCAGTAGTACTCACTCCTGTTTAAACTTTGGAATATTTGTGAATATGTATAAAATTTAGAGTGATTGCAAACATTTTATGACGTGATTTCTTGAATAAAAGAAATATATTCTCAAAAGTTTTGTTTTATATTTGAACGAATAAATCCCACGGTTGTCAGGCACCGATTCAAATGAATGACAAAAACAATACGTATGTTTGTGAGAGCGCCTCCAAATGCCCTGATACGGCCGAGAGTCCGCTTTCCCTCTCTAAATGCTCTCATATGGCCACGCGTATATAGCCTCTGCCAGGGAAGTCCCACTCACTGCCTTCTCGTGTCAGGGGTGTTGTTTACGAAAATGAGAGGACGAAAAGCGAATGTCAGGCGCTTTAACCAGGTTGGTGGACACGGAAAGTTCACCTAGCGGAGTTGGAAAACCCTGATTCCAAACCAATTGTGCACATGGGCTCCAGTATCCTGAAGGAACAAATGGTGTATGAATCAATCGTCGGTCACCGGCTACCATGGGACTGCATCTCCTCACGATGCCCCACTGCCTTGTGGATCAGATCTTTAGGTCAAAGGCTCGAGTTGTGGTCCCTTAAGAAAACCACCTGCTTCAGTTTGGGCATCTGGGCAGTATCTCAGCCCTCCCACAAATCTGATTTGATTTGTGCGGCGCATATGTATTCGGTGCCCCGTTGTATCAATATTTATGTGTTCAAATAAATAAATAATGTTTGTGAGAACTTAAGAGATTGGAACTTCAAAAACAAATCGAATATTTCGCTCGGCAATTCGGTTCAAATATAAATATATGATGTACTGCCATCATGAATCGATTGGAGTCGGAAATTAGAACCGTTAAGTGTGTCAGCTTAGTGTATTCTAACAAAAAATATACTCACAATAGGATTTCATAGCTTCGTGTTAATTCTTTGATGGAGTTATGAGTGAACATCACTATGTAACCTTCTTAATTTACAGCGATTACCTAGTCAAAATCAATTTATGATGTATGTCATCATGTAAATAAAATTATTTCCATAAACTTTCATTGCTAACAATTATTGCAGCATATATACACCGATATGTTTTGTGTGCTGTTGAGTAGCCCCATAGTGTGATGAAACGCCTGTTCAATGCTTTAAATTTCCCAATAATCGTTTAACTTTGATCAATTCATGATTTCAATGAAGTTATCAGTAGTTGGATCATAGTATTTTCTTAGCTGAAATCACGAGTCAAGCTGCTCTAGATCATCATTAAAAATGCAGATGAATTCGTGGTTTCAACTCTGAAAATTCAGTGAAATTAACAAAACAACTAAGCAACAAACACTGCATAAGTAGAATTATAATAAGCAATTTATTTACAACAATGAGAAAGAAACAAAATTTGCAAAAGAAATCATTTTAGGATGGATTACACTCTTGAGGTGGTGTAATAGTATTTGAAGTTTTTCTATGAAGTGAATTAGGAGCTGGTGCTGTTACTGTTGATGGATTTCTTGGAACCTTCTGACTGATGGGGTTGGTGTTAGTGTAAATGTTATCTCGTTTTTTCTGATCAATGCATGACGATGAGATTTTATTAAGTTCATTTGAGTTCATATTGTTATGGACTTCTACAGATGGTTTCTAGAGTTATAATGAATTACAATTAAAAAAAGGTAAAAACAGTAGTGTTTACAGTTGCAAAATTAATATTAAAAAAGCAATGATGCAACAACAGAAACTTTATAGGCGTATAATAATTGATGATGGTAAAAATCGTTCTTGTTGACCGTCGATTGAATATGTCGCATTTATACAGCAACCAATTGTCCTTGAGCATCATTAGTAAATAGCACACACAAAGAAACAATAGACCAATAGCGTTTAAGATAGTTCACAAGTGGGAAATATGACGTGAAGGTAAAAAGAGCGCGTTTGGCGCGAATGTCATGCATTGAAGGGACGTACGCGGCATAGTAAGAAACCAGTCCCATGAAGGAACGCAGTGCGGAAATATTCGTGAGCGTGGGCATCTGTCTTATCGCTCGGACGTTTTCAGGTTCCGGTCTGCGGCTGTCAGCATCAAAAATAAACCCCAAATACTTTACGGACCGTAATAAAAACTGGCATTTCTCAGGTCGTAACCGGAACCCGTTTTCAGTGATGCGTTTCAGTACCGACGTCATTCGTTTCTGTAGCTGTACTAACGTTGCTGCAACAATTAGAATGTCGTCAAGGTAAGCCGCGACTCCCGGGATGCCAGATAAGATAGTATCCGTTAATTGTTGGAAAATAGATGGTGCAGTCTTGACACCGAATGGTAAACGGTTGTACTGAAATAACCCAAGGTGAGTGTTGATAGTAAGCAGCTCCCACGATACTTCGTCTACTTCAACTTGCAAATAAGCATCAGCAAGATCCAGTTTTGCGAAGAATTTTCCCTCATTCAGCATTGTAAACAAATCTGCAGGAACTGGTAAGGAATAGTGATGTTGTTCAAGGGCTGCATTTAGACCTGTAGAAAAACCAGCACATATTCGTATGGTGCCGTTTGCCTTCTTCATGACCACTATCGATGCTGCCCAGGCGGAGCAAGAAACGGGAGTAATTACTCCTTGTTGTTGGAGGCGGTTTAATTCTTCATCTACTGTTGGTAACGTCGCATAAGGCACGGGTCTTTCGGGACGAAAGACAAGCTTAGCTCCAGGTTTCAAACGAATTGTTGCTTTTATGGCAGAACACAGTCCCAAACCAGGTTGGAAAATCGATGAAAACTCCATTAGCTTTCTGGTATACGATTCAGTGTCATGAGGTTGTGATACCATGTGGCATATGGTATTTAGTGGGACATCAGCCAATTTCAGTTGATCAAACCAGTCTAAACCAAGTAAATTTAGATCAGCTGGAGTTATATGACATACCCCGGTAAACGACGAATCCCGGAAGGTCACTCTACATTTCAATTGTCCTGATAAGTGTAAGAAATTACCACATGCAGTACGAGGCTTTTGAGTTGTTCGCTGCAGAAAGGATTAGCGGAAGTGATTGTATTCGACAATGGGTCGCAGTTTACCTCAGCGCAGTTCCAAAAGTTCTGCAAACACCTATCCATCAGGCATCTTCGCGCCCCACCTTATCACTCACAATCGAATGGGCAAGCGGAAAGGTTCGTGGATACGTTCAAGAGGGCTCTGATTAAGTCAAAAGGGGAGGGGACGCCAGGGGAAACACTGCAGAATTTTTTATTCGCCTACAGAACGACGCCTAACGAAACGCTACCGGAGCAGAAGTCCCCCGCAGAGATCCTCATGGGGAGAAGGTTGAGGACTATCCACAACTTGATGCTACCGAAAACCACACCACCATAAGCGCAAACTACGTCCTGGAAGCTACCCACATACACCGTTGGATGCCCAGCATTCGCTCGAGACTACAGAGCAAATCGTGATCCTTGGATCGAAGCACGTGTGGTTAGAAGGGTAGGTAAAGTCATGTACGAGGTCGAGGTAGGAGCAGATAGGTGGTCGAGGTATCGAAACCAACTACGCAAGCGTTCAGCCCCAGCGCGCCCAACAACCGAAGGAAAGATACCACTGGACATATTGTTAGATACGTTCAATCTGCCGGTCGCCCCTACACAAGAAGAAACACAAAAGGTCGATCTACGGTCCCGAAGATCGTCACTGCGCCAACGGCGACAGACAGTTGGAATGCAGGTGAACCCAAAGAATGTCCGTTACTAAAAAGGGGAGGTGTTAGGGATGTCAAATCCCCAGAACTTACTTGGTAAATGGCTTAGTTTTGTAATTTTATTTTGAAAATTTGAATTTAGCTGTTTTCGCGCCAAACGCGCTCTTTTTACCTTCACGTCATATTTCCCACTTGTAAACTATCTTAAACGCTATTGGTCAATTGTTTCTTTGTGTGTGCTGTTTACTAATGATGCTCAAGTACAATTTGTTGCTGTATAAATGCGCTTGACTTTTTCCCTTATTTGATTGCTTGTACTCGGTTGCTTACGGAATACATATACATTCCCCTACTTGCCTTGGACTTATTCTAGTTAGCGGGGCCTGGGACAACAGATTAGAATAGCTTATCGTGCCATTGTGTCAGTGACTTCCGTTCGTTACCGCGGAATCGATTTAGTTCAAGCATATAACTGTCTTAATACCTGGTCTAACAAAAAGGGTGAAGTGATCGCTTGAACAATTCTAACTGGTTAATGACTTGCGAAATATCTGTACGGATACGAAATGGTTAGATAAATTCGATAACTTGCGACAACTTTATCAAAGACTGTCTATATTTATGAATAAACGTTTTACTATGCAACAAGCCTCCAAATGCCTTGGTATGGCCGAGGGTCAGGAGATTCGGCTCTCCCTCTCCAAATGCTATCACATGGCCACGCGTATACAGCCACTGCCAGCGAAGTCCTACTCATTGCCTGACTGAGACTAGTGTTGTTTACGAAATTGTGAGGATGAAAAGCGAATGTCAGACGCTTTAACCTGGTTGGTGGACACGGAAAGTTCAACTAGGGCAGTTAGAAAACCTGATTCTCAAGCAATGGTGTACGTGGGCTCCAGGATCCTGAGGGAAAAAATGGCGTATGAACTAATTGTTGGTCGCCGGCTACCATGGGACTGCATCTCCTGATGTCGCTCCACTGCCTTGTGGATCAGACCTTTAGTTCGAAGGCTCCGGGTACCTAGGCAGTATCACAGCCCTCACACAAATCAGGTGACATGTGTGGCGCATATCTATTCGGTGTCCCTTTGTACCAATATTTATGTGTTCAAATAAATAAAAATAAGTCTGCAATGATTTTGGGTTGCGAAATACGACCCATGAAACAAGCAGTTTGGAAATATTTGTTCACTAGTATCTTCAAACCAAAGCTTCAGTCAGTCAACCAAACGCAACACAGAACGTGGCACATACGAGCATCGGTTTAGGTTGCCATGTCTCATTAGCACGAGATGAAATTGGGAAAACCCGAGTATTAGGGGTAGTAACAGTAATCATGGAAACATAAAAGATTAGGCATCCAAGATACAATTTAAGAAAACATAAATTGGTGAAATAATCAAAATGAGTTTATGAGGAATTTAGGAAGACAAATAGTGGGCTATTGCGAACGATTCTAAGCCATGTCAATCAAAGTCTCTAACCATTGGTTTACATGGTAATGCTTACTTGCATGTTATTAGCCGAACCCAACCTCTATAGATTATACTAGCTAGCGTAGAAGAGTTTAGAAGTAGGTAAGAAGTAGCCAAACAAAAAAAGAATCAACCCATGCAGTTAATCGCTGCTAATTCTAACTACAAGTGTGCACCTTTTGAATGAAGACCGCATGATAATCACCATTTGTGATGATAAGATTAAAGACACTAATTATTAAAACAGGTTGAACAATACAATGAACATTTTGAAGTTATCAAATGAAACATGTTAGAAAAATAGGCCAGCAATAACAATAATAATATTTACCCGTTTTAAAGGTTCTTGCTTAGGAATTTGCCAAGATGGATTGAGAGGTTTCGGCGCTGCAGGAGTAAGAAAAAATTCATCCTTTTTATTTTGTGATTGAGAAATAGTAGGACCATCAGTGAATTCGGATGGTCGACGATTAGTATCCTGATGATTTTTACCAATAATGGCATGAACGGAACGGAGTACATCCTGTGGTAATTGAGTTGTGCTTTCCGCTAAAGGTCCATGTTGTAAAAAGCTAAAATCCTGAAAATATATTAATAACGAAAAGTCATTTAATACAATACAAAAACAAATCAGTGTGTTTTACACTTTTTATCCTTTGTGAATAATTCATGATGGTACATGTATCATTTCATTGAAAATTGTATTTTTCAAAACATTTCCTTGTGTATTTACCATTTTATTGGTCAGCAGAGAACTATTGTTCGTTTATTAACTGAGTTGAACGGTACTCGACATTCGATTCAGAGGTTATATGGTTCAATATTAAATCTCAGATTGAATAACATTCACTGATGAAAGTTTTCAAATCAGTACAAGATGATATCAGTTAGTGATGAAATATACCTTCGAATAATTAAATCTTTATGTATTACCTCTTCGATAGAAATAACACTTTCTGCGCTAACATCCTATTTGTAGCACTACCACGTTGACTATGTTAGTGTAAAGGATAATGAATGATCAGTAATTTCTCAATTGGTTTCGCTTACCAAAATTAGGCTAGACCTATTGTACTACAGTAGTAACAAAAGCCGAATAGGAAATGTGCTACAAGAATTTATTTCATGGATTTATATGCGAGGGAACAAATAAAAAGAAATCAAACAGATACAAGTAAGATACAATAGAAGCCTACCCCCGTACTCCAGAACTATGTATATTTAATTATGATACGCTTTAACGCAACCATTGGGAATTCACATCAAACAAAATGTAAATTAAACACCTTTAAAAGTCTGCTTCGTTGAAGAAAGCTGTGTAAATGATAAACGGTGGCTGTTTCTAGAGTCAGTAATGACAATCGACAGTCAAAATGAGATTGAAAGCACTCAAATATAGAAGTTGTTGCACTTAAACAAAGGTCCAAATAATGCACAAAAACTTGAAATAACTGTTACAGAGGTTGAAATAATGTAATCAAAATAATAAATACAGTAAACGTTATTAGTTTATGTAAATGCTTCAGAATATTATATAGCAAGTGACGTACTTTTCACTAGTAGGGGCAGTCAAACCAAAACATGGCTACTTGGTTTGGAGTTTGTGAGTCTATCCTAACCAGTGGTTGGAGACTGTGTGACATGGCTCAGAATCGATCACAATGACGTAGGTGTATACACTCTTTGTCTTCCTTTAGACCATGAGATTAAAATTGCTTCATACTTTTCTTTCAGCGAAATAATTCTTTGTCCCTGTATCATATCCTTATATGCAATAGTTTTTTTTATATATTACTACCACTAAAGTGACTGCTTCTATGAATTTGGTGTTCATGTTGTTGTGCTAATGAGGTGTGTCAACATGGACCGATACATATATGTGCCTGGTCCTACGTTGTAGATGACTGACGTCTCACTATACGTTTAGAAATGATCGAAAATGCTACTGTTCACTGAATGATTGCAAGTAGTATAAACCAATACACGAAAATGAGATAAATGAGAAGAGGAAGATGGTGAATGCGAACGAACTTATGATGAAATCATCATCTGTTGATAAGAGCCAGGTCGGTTTTTAAGTGTGATATCGTGGTAAATCGGTCAAAGTAGCGCATCTGCAATAGTATTACTGACTTCCTATTCTTCTGTACTGCATTTCTTATATTTAGATTCTTATTGTTTTCGGCATTTCATTTTGTTGATTTCATGTCACTGTGATGATATGATCTGTAACAAATTGAATCAATACACACTCGTGCTGCTTTCTACATAGATAACTGACTGACTGATATTAAAGTAAAGCCTGATCATGAAAATGATTTGTATACTGTAAAAGTAGCATAAACATCACTCACAGGATCTAATTTTTTCGAATGAAAATCGATAATCGGTTTTGAACAATTATCGATATATTCGTTTTTCGACATCGGAGCAGAAGACAATGGTGAAAGAAAATGATCCGATTTGTTGGTGGTAGGTGATTTAACTTTTGATCTAGGCAATTCCGTAAGTGGTTTACGTGTTGAACTATGATGTCTCATAGGGCCATTGTCAAGAGTGGCTGCTGCTGATGAAGATGACGATGATGATAAAACTGGATGGGAAATTTTGTTCGGAGAGGAATCTTGAAACTGCTACATAATAAAAATCATATTCGGATTGATAAATTAGCAACAGATGATTTCTTTTCAAAATGTTACATTAATTATCAATAAAAACGAATTTAACACACATGTATAGTTTTTAGCAATGGGTAAAAATTGAAAATCGCACTTGAACTACAGACAGTAGAGGTGGAATTGTATATTCAGATAACTTATAATCCATACAACCGAAAATACACAGTTCATGCAATCATTTACTTGTACACAAAATATACATTGCATTGCTTAAGAGATCAATACTGCCTATTCAATGGTCAAATATTTTTCTAGTAGCATTGTATTGTACAAGCTTAACTACATGATAGCTTCATAAACTCACTACAATAATCCAAAAGTATTTATAATATAATCAGTGTAAAGGTATATGAATATTTTCGGAGAGTATTTACTAAAGCAAGAAGAATGAACACAGAAATCCCTGTCGGTAATTTACATTACTGAAGTAGAATGTTTAATGTGATCAAATAAATTCTGTATCGAGTTTCTTACATTCATTAGTCAAGAGATAATGTTATATAAGGATCTTTTGCAAATTCTAATTACTCTAATAAAGTTTTTCTGTAAATATGTACTGATACAACAAACAATAATATGAACAATAATAGCAATAACGGGGCGAACTTGCATGCATATAACACACAACAATACTGTCATGCACTGTCCCATCACCCTTGGCAGATCAGGCAACCAGAAAGTCACGAGAACACCATCAGGGCATACGACAGGCTAAGTATGTACATACATACATACAACAAACAACATAGTGTGAAATGCTCGAAAAAAGTTAAAACATCCTGATTGGATAATAATGTCTTCATTGAAATGATAAATGTATAGCGAATATAGAGGTTTTTTTAGATAATTAGTTTGCATAAAGGCAATCAAGACTACGTAAAGGTCAAAGGACAGTCCTAACTATTTGATAACATCTCAGACTGTAAAGCTGGATGACCCAGGTTCGAAACCCCAGGGGAGCATCAGTTCCCTTAAGATTGTAGGGAACTAATTGCCGGCTAGTACGAAATCCAGGTCCGAGGTTTTTCGCTAACTACGTCCAACCACTTAATACTTGAGCATAGTGCATGCGATGTTGAGTCATTCAGAACAGTGGGCACATTGCAACTATACGGATAGAATTTAGCGAGTATTAAAGAATAAGACAAACATGACACTAGTGCTTCTATTCACGCTGTGTAGTTTCTGTTGTCCAATTATTCCCTGACCTAACAAAAATTTTTGGGTTTGAAAATAGGTTGGCTAAGAAAGTATGTGCAATATACAAAAACCGTTGACACTTACATGGAGAACAGGTTTTTCTTCAGATTTTGCTAAACCTGTAGATTCTGTAACAGATACAGCAGGACGACTGCGTTTATTATTAGACGAATACTCAGGAGACTGTTGAGCGCGTTTAGGCGAAGTGATAACATTAGCAATTGCTGTAACTGCAGCACCGACGCGAGAGAAGATTGATGTAGATGAGGTTTCGGAAGATTTACGAGAAGACGGCGAAGATGTTTTGTTCGTTATAAGAGTACTAACTGTAGTCAATGAGTCTAAGAAGAAAATAATGTTGAACGTGAGCATAATAAAAATAATGAAGAGACGTGTTAAAACTTTTATTTATTTATTTTAACACATAAATATTGGTACAAGGAAGCACTAGATACATATGCGCCGCACAAATCTCATTAGATTTGCGTGAGTGCTGTGATACTGCCTAGGTGCCCAAACTGAAGCAGGTGGTTCTCTTAGGGGGCCACACCCCGAGCCTTTGACCTAAAGATCTAACCCACAAGGCAGTGGAGCATCGTGAGGAGATGTAGTCCCATGGTAGCCGGTGACCAACAATTGGTTCATACGCCACTTTTTCCCTCAGGATACTGGAGCCTATATGCACCATTGGTTTGGAATCAGGGTTTTTCAAATCCCCTAGGTGGACCCTCCATGTCCACCAACCCGGTTAAAGCGCCGGAAATTCGCTTTTCCTCCTCTTACTTTCGCGAACACCACCCCTGCCACGAGAAGGAAGCGAGTAGGACTTATTTCTGCTACATTAGAAATTTACCTGATAACCGTATTAAGTATAAGAAATAATACACTTACGAAGAAACTTTGATAAAAAGAATGCGATTTCCTCTAAACGATTTACCATTAGACTGGACAACTTAATCACGCAAAAAGCTGGAAACTTTGGCATGATCTTTGGAATCAATTTTAAAGACATATTAACAGTATTTCTAACACCGACAAATTAGCACCATGACGTCGGTCTAGTTGATTACACCGTCCATATTTTCCGCTAAAAACAAGATAACTTTTGGGCTATATAACGAGGAGTGTTGAATTACGATAAACCATTTTAAATTCTTCATTTTATTTGGTGACCTGCAAAAATTCAGGCTTTATAATTGATAAATCGATGGCACAATTGTGAAGTCCTACCCTTAACATATGAACATATATTAAATAATTTACGTTACGAAAAATGACCGCACGTTGAATAGGTTATACAGTCTTTCTGACGATTTCGTTAGTACTATTCTACTGTAGATCCTTCAGAGTTCTCAGTCACAAATGTAACGCCTCTCCATTACAGTTATGCTACTTTAATTATATGGTGATATATGGTAAGATGTCCAATGACTTAGCCTAACAGTCAGGTCAACTAATTGAAGAATGAGTTACCTACAAGCTAACTTCCTTTAATTACTTAAGAAATTTTACCATGCGAATTTTGTGCTTGTATTTTGTATATGATTAAGATATTTTGTTGCATGAAAGACCTATTCATCTAGCTAGAAGTTTTGTTTTTGTTTTCTACCCATCCGAGGGGTGAACTCAATAAATGCAGTCTTACGAGTATCCATCACTCGGCTATATAATATCGAAAAGTGTTCTATTCCTTGATTTTAACAAATTACTAAGTCTCCATAACAAAGTATGAGAAGGAAATGAAACAATTTATAACTTCTCATCAGTAGTATCAGCCAGTCAGTAAACGTAAGATTTGGTGGGAATATGTGTCAATTGATGGTCCTACATCAGCAGAATTCAATGAGTAAAAGTAGACTATGATACGGAACTCAAGATTTGAAGGAAGACAGAAACAAAATACAAATGAGGTCGATTTCCGGCGGTGTCACCAATCGTCTCACACAGAGAGATTTGTGCTTATTTACCCAGATCAACTCAGCGCTCTATGGTTTTAGGTACTGATAATATGTCGTGCTTCGCTTAATGGTAGAATTTTATTCAAGATACTCTTATGTTAAACAGTATTAAGAATTGTGTTATTCCTTAACGTTGAAATAATCGCGACAGTTAGGTGAACAACTGTTTAGATTGATCAGATTGTGAATCTTCATTGACTAGGTAGGTTGAGACTTGTATTATGTATGCTTAACCACTTATTATCTCAACGAGCAATGTTAACTAGCGGAGATGTAAGTTGAAAAAAGTTAGGTGTAGTCACATCAAAACATATCATTAGTTCATGAAATCATTGACTATTAAGTCTAAGCCATGTTGGTAGATGCAGACTACCTAGTTGAAGTCAATGAAATAAATCCGATCAAGTGGTTGAAGAATTTAGGTAAGATGATTCAGATGCTTTAACTTCCTAGAGATCTTCAGTGCCAACATCCCTTCACACATAATTTTCATTCAATTTTTTTCAGATCACATTCTTAATGTTTAAACTCACCAATAAGATTATCATTGTTTAACATTGCAATAGCTAATAATCTCATAATTCATGGTTTATGAAAAAGTAGATTTATAAGAAATAACTAGTTTAGTTAATACTAACTTTCTTGATCCGATTGTACACAAGAAGTTACATTATTACAATTCATTGAGCTTGATGAATTGATCAAAGGAGTTGATTGAATAGTAGATGAATTACTACAATGGACATCAACTTTATTGGAAGATAAATTCTGACGAACATTATCTGCAAAAGCAACAGCCATTCTAGGATCACATAGTTTATTCACTAATTCACGATAATGAGATACGCGTTGTTGTAGTTTTGACGATTTTTCAAACATCTAATTTATTTGAAAATTATATAAACTATTATTGATAGAAACAATGTATAAATAGGTGTTAGAAAATAAATCCATTGAAAAGTAGATATAGTTTTGTGGAATGGCGATTTAGAGGTTATAGTGTTCAGAGTTCACTATTAGATTGTAAGTTCCAGATCCACTCTAGCTTATTTGATTTGAAAAGCATACCTAGCCCTCATACTTAAAGAGTGGCTCGACGTCAAATCTCTACTCCGTAAACAAGTAACAAGAAAGGTAAACCTTTTAAATATTGGAACAGAATAATGTTTAGGCCATAGGCATTAATACGATTGTATGGATTTAATTTCTCTAAATCAAACATTGACAGCTATTTTGGTAGAGTTTTGTTCTTTGAGTTGGATAGTTTGGTCGTGGGGCTTGCATCGCTGTTCTAAACATCGTCAGTACAAACTGAAGTTTGTGCTGATGATGTCCACTTGAGCTACAAATCTTCTCCATCATCTCATTGACAGTTAGCTTTAGTTTCTCTAAAACCTGACATATAGCAAATTATATAATATAGTACCTTTGACATACACAGTACATTAATACTTATATAGTGTCCCATGGATACGTAGTTCATTTATCAAGCAGAGAATAGGGTTTACTATTAATTGATCACTGAGTAATGACCATTGTTATGTTTGCCTAGCTCTATAGTGCTGGTCAAACTCTATCGGCCAAGCTGGAATCCCACTGGGAGCATCAGTTCTCTTGTGATTACAAATATACTATACTGGCCGGTGCCAACTAACACGAAACATGCCCAAAAATTCCTGATGGCTATTTTTAACCACAAAGCGAAGAACAACGCACTCGACTTCTATTCATGCTTTCGGTGTACAAATGCATCTTGTTGATCCAGGTTAGCACAGACGTTTAGTTCAATTCTCATACTGACTTCTTCAGACAATCCTAAACGACAAAAATAGCACGATGTCGTCACTTAAACCTAGAATGAACCCATAAAAAAACATGATACATGAAATTCAATAGTGATTGGAAGATATGTCAATGGTTATTAATCGATGTTAGAATGATACATCACTCCCATCGGAGATAACAGTAAGTTCATATAGCTCAAAGGTAAATCTTTCATAGTGGCGCAGATGATGCGGATTGGGATCAGTGATACAGTATAAGTCTCCGTAAGATTACAGATACGCATCTTTGATAGATGACAATTATCATTAGGTATAAGTTCAATCGCCTTCTCAGTAGATTGCTTCCAACCATTTAACGTTATTCATAGTCTTGTTAGAATGAAACTAGAATGACTGTAGTGTTACCACAGACTTTTTATAATTAGTTAAAATATCTATGAATGACCTTATTTTATCGAGCAAACAATTTTTCGATGACGCAGTGTAACAAAAACAGTTGGCCTTTGACACCCGACCGTTGCTGCTACCTTGACGTGGTGGTCGGGCTTGCCTATCGTGATGATCCAATCGAGCTATGCTGGCTGGAACAATCGTTCCTCAAGGTCCTACCATGCCAGACAGGTCGGTTGAAGAGCGGTGAGACTAAAAGCAGCAAACCCAAGGTCCGAAGGCGAAGTCGTACTGCTGACTGTACAGAGGTGTGAAAGCGGTAAGGTGTTTCCTTCAGACAACCAGCATGACAGCGATGCTGCCTTCCCACAAGGAGGGGTGGGGTTAGAAAAGGTCGACCCTAAAAATGCACACCTCGCCTTATCCCACGGATTTCCGTCTCCGGCGGTAAGGACTTTTGAAGAACGGAGCTAAAATCCCCCACAAAAAGGCCGTGCGTGACCGGCCTTGGGCACTGCGGTCACGCTCCCAGGTCGTTAAGACCAACACTAATCCAACTTCTTTTTCAGGTCCCTCAAGAAATACCCTTCCACGGTGTGGGCAGCCGGGAAGTGATACTAGCCCTCATACCCTTAACTGCACACAAGACCAAGTTGGTCGCTTTCAAATCCTTCCTACACCTAATAACTCTGTTATCTCCTCGACTAACCCTTCCCACGTCCTTTTATCACGTCGCACCGCTAGGGCAAACGATTCGAGTACACAGAACGTTATTCCTGGTTTCCTGAAACCACGCTCTAAACTACATATAGGAACTTTTAATGTCCGAACATTGTGCCAAATAGGACAACAGGCTTCCTTAGCTAGGACTCTAGAATCTTACACCATCGATGTGTGCTGCGTCTCCGAAACGCGCATACAAGATCCGAGTAGTGTCATTCATTTGACCGCACCTAACCAAAATAAAGTTTCATCTCGATACACGCTTCGTGTATCTGGAAGCCCTGACGCTGCTTCCCGTGGCCTCGCTGGAGTAGGTATAGCATTAAGTCCTAGGGCAGAACTAGCTCTTTTAGACTGGATCCCAGTAGACAGTCGTCTATGCGCTGTCCGACTAAACGGATCAGTAAGGACCCGGAAAGATAGGGAAACTCGTCGTTGCCTCTTCGTCGTTTCTGCCTACTCTCCCACTGACTGCAGCTCAGACGATATAAAAGATGAGTTCTACAGAAAACTTTCTGACCTTCTCCGAGAAGCTAGGCGTTCTGATGTAGTAATAGTAGCAGGTGACTTTAATGCTCAAGTAGGTAAACTAAGTGAAAGGGAAAGACACCTGAGTGTATCTTACGGTGTCGTGGCTGAAAGATCAGATAATGGCAACCGTCTGTTGCAGCTATGCTCAGATAACCGCCTATTTCTTGCAAATACTAACTTTAAGCATAAGGAAAAACATCTTTTGACCTGGCGACCCCCGAATTCGTCCCAACGTTGGACCAAATTAGATCACATCGCTATCAGCCACCGATTGAGGGGCTCGATAGAAGACTGTCACTCATTCTGGGGCACATGTTTAGATTCAGATCATGCTCTAGTGCGAGCACGTATCTGTCTGCGACTTACTGGTCGTAGGAAAGACACTGCAGGGAAGCCTCTAAGGGTTCTACTTAATGATAGGCAAGCTAAGAATATATTTCAGGAACAACTAGAAAAACAGTTAGGCAGCCATGTAAGTTGTGTCCACCCCGAGGCAGCGTGGAATGACATCCGAAAAGCTGTGGAAACAGCAGTGATATCCGCTAATAAGGTAAACCATAACGTTAGGGAGAAACAATGGATCTCGGCAGCATCTATCGCACTGATAGATGCTCGTAAACTCATCCCACCTGGCTCTGAGCATAACGAAGAGCGGAGTCAACTTAAGCTTATAAGAAGCCTACGTGATGATCGTGAACAGTGGTGGGTAGCGAAAGCAAGAGAGATGGAAAAGGCAGCGGCAATAGGTAACAGTAGGCAGCTATTCAGACTCGTTAAAGAAACCGGTATTAGGAACCCGAATATCAGTGAAACCATCTCAGATAAAGATGGGCATATTATTCATTCTCAATCCAGGAGGTTGGATCGATGGGCAGAACACTTTAGGGATCAGTTCAACTGGCCTTAAGCCACACTTCAATTACCCACGATCCCCAGTCGTCCTGAATGGAAAATTGATGTAAGTCCTCCAACCCTCTGTGAGGTTGAAAAAGCTATAGGAAATCTGAAGCGAGGGAGAGCAGCAGGCCCTGACAGGTTGGCCCCTGAGATTTTTAAGGATGGTGGTCCAGTACTAGCAGTGAGATTGACTGAGGTCTTAGGTAGAACCTGGGAACTGGACGTAATTCCATCTGACCGGTCCCAATCACTGATTGTGCCAGTCTATAAGAAAGGACAAAAGTCCTCCTGTGACAATCACAGAGGGATCAGTTTGACTAATATAGTGTCTAAAATATTAGCTTCAATAATACTAGGTCGCCTAACCAAAGCTCGTGACGAGCAGACTAGAGAAAACCAGGTTGGTTTTCGACCTGGACGTGGTTGCATAGACCAGATATTCACCCTACGTCAGGTTCTAGAACATAGACACAAATTCAGACGTCCCACAATAGTAGTATTTCTTGACCTTAAGGCGGCATTTGACTCTGTTGATCGTGAGGTTCTATGGCAATGTTTGTCACTGAAAGGAGTACCAAAGAAGTACATTAACCTCATAAAGGCTCTCTACTCGAGCACAACTGGTCGAGTTAGAGCCTATGGCGAACTGTCATCAGAACTGATTACCACAAGTGGCGTTCGTCAGGGCTGTCCACTCTCCCCATTCTTGTTTAACTTTGTCATTGACATACTTTTAGAGATAGCACTTTCATCAGCTAAACCTCCGGGAGTTGAACTTTTACCAGGAGGCTCACTTGTTGACTTAGAATACGCCGACGACATAGTTTTACTCGGTGAAGACGCTGACAACATGCAGAGTCTTCTGACCACTATAAGCAACTATGCAGGCATGTTCGGAATGCGATTCTCTCCCTCGAAGTGCAAAATGTTACTTCAGGATTGGGTTGCATCGACACCTGAACTAATGATAGGGAGTGAAGTAGTTGAGCGTGTAGACCACTTCACTTATCTTGGGAGTCTCATCAGCCCTTGTGGTCTGGTATGTGACGAAATCTCAGCACGGATACAGAAGGCTCGTCTAGCTTTCGCCAACTTGCGTCATTTATGGCGTAGGCGAGATATCCGTCTAGCAACCAAAGGACGTGTTTACTGTGCAGCAGTTCGCTCCGTCCTACTTTATGGCAGTGAAACATTGCCAATAAGAGTAGAGGATATTCGTAGGCTACTAGTGTTCGAACATAGGTGTCTTCGAAGCATTGCTCGTATATCCTGGGACCATCGGGTAAGTAATGCAGTTGTTAGGAAACGAGTACTAGGTAGGGATGGCAAATCGATTGATGAAGTAGTGAAACTTCATCAGTTGAGATGGCTGGGACATGTGTTACGTATGCCCGACCACCGACTGCCCCGACGTGCAATGTTTCATGGTGTAGGAGTAGGTTGGAAGAAAGCTAGGGGTGGCCAGACCAAAACGTGGCACAAATCAATGAAGTCACTGACAAGTGGACTGGGCCATGTTGTTAGGTGTAGACTACCTGGTTGGGATTCGCGAGATGACAGCAACCGATGGTTAGAGACCTTGAATGACATGGCTCAAAATCGTTTGCAATGGCGAAGATGCATCCACTCTTTGTGTTCTACCAAATTCTAATCTTCTGAATTCCTCATGTCTTTATATTTTTCTCTTTCCAAATTTATTTCACTGTACTATACTCCTTCAATAATTTCTTCAAACCCTAATCTTTTGGATTTCTGATTATACTCCTACTACTTCTACCACTATGGGATTTGAATCGACAACTGCATCTCTGTGCTAATGTGGTATGGCAACTCGAACTGATGTACGTACGTACGAAGTTCTACGTTGTGACTGACTGACTGATTGATTATTGAGTACTGAGAAATATCATATTTTCCTGTGACTTTAGTATTGACGGAATTTTTTCTATCAAATTGCAATGTAGACAGTAGTATGAATGGTCTGAAGTCTTGTACATTATGCTGAAATGTCCGGAGGTTGGTATTTGTTAGTGGGAAACCCTTTATATAGGTTTCCTACCAGTTGACACTCAACATCAGCATGGTGTAATCTGGGACATCATAGGGATTGATGCTCGCTGTGGGGTGCGAACGCGTAACAATCAGCTTCAAAGTCTGCGACTTTAACACTGACCAAGCTGAGGAATGTCTAACCACTTTTGGTAGTTGTATATGCCTAGAGAGACTACATTATAGTCTTTCAATAAAGTAATAAGAATTTTCAAACTTACAGCATTCAGCTCGTCATTTTTAGCTTTTAACTGATTAGTCAATTCAACATGCGAATTCCTAAGTGAGAGTAGCTCTTGTTTTGTTTGATGCCATTGATCTTCAAGCTCGTTTCTTTCTAAAATAATTTTGTTTAGTGACTTTTTCTACAAAAAGAAAACATAGTACAAGCGAAACCATGGAATTAAACAGAACGAAAATTAACACCAGAAAGACTAGGTTGTGAAAAAAATATAATAAATGGGTGAGTAAACAGAATTTGGATACAAAACCAGTAAGTTATTAACAAAATCCAGGATCATAAGTTCATTCGCATTCACTGTCTTCCTCTTCTCATTTATCTCATTTTCGTGTATTGGTTTATACTACTTGCAATCATTCTGTAAACAGTAGCATTTTCGATCATTTCTAAACGTATAGTGAGACGTCAGTCGTCTACAACGTAGGACCAGGCACATATATGTATCGGTCCATGTTGACACACCTCATTAGCACAACAACATGAACACCAAATTCATAGAAGCAGTCACTTTAGTGGTAGTGATATATATAAAAAAAAACTATTGCATATAAGGATATGATACAGGGACAAAGAATTATTTCGCTGAAAGAAAAGTATGAAGCAATTTTAATCTCATGGTCTAAAGGAAGACAAAGAGTGTATACACCTACGTCATTGTGATCGATTCTGAGCCATGTCACACAGTCTCCAACCACTGGTTAGGATAGACTCACAAACTCCAAACCAAGTAGCCATGTTTTGGTTTGACTGCCCCTACTAGTGAAAAGTACGTCACTTGCTATATAATATTCTGAAGCATTTACATAAACTAATAACATTTACTGTATTTATTATTTTGATTACATTATTTCAACCTCTGTAACAGTTATTTCAAGTTTTTGTGCATTATTTGGACCTTTGTTTAAGTGCAACAACTTCTATATTTGAGTACTCTTAGTCTCATTTTGCCTGTCGATTGTCATTACTGACTCTAGATACAGTTACCGTTTATCATTGACTCTATCATATGTTGTTACTAATCTTTATGTTATTATTACAAGAAGCCTTTCCCTATTTAAGCACACAGACGCGTCAATCGCTATGGATATCTCTCGAGTTGAGGTTTGCAACCAATTTATATGTATATTGTTACGATGAAGTCGTTCTTTTTGATGGAGTTTTGTTCTCTAAGCTGAATGATTCGGTCGTGAAGCAGTAATCGCTCTTTTGAACGACATCATCAGGATAAACTTCAGGTAAAAACGAAGTGTTCGAATTTCTCCACATATCATTTTTTAGACAAATCATGATTTTGAACATCAATTTCACACGTCTCAGTTGTGTTGTAAGACAATTTGATAGACAATATACAACACCGCACAAAAGTGTCATAGACAAAGTAAACTTAGGTCAAATCTTTATACTGTAAAACAACTGTTTGATAAATATTCATTAGAAGTGACCAAGGTAATTTACTAAGCTATCGTTGCCCATGTCTCATATTTCACTTCTCTTTCCACATCCTAATATTCTTCAAAAACACAGTCAAACACTATTCCACTGAGTTATCTGTGTTAGGATTGATATTCTATCGAAAGCATTGTTCGTGTGTATATAAATGACTGAGAACATAATGATTACCTAATAGTTAATATTAATGATGATCTTATCTGTGATGTAGAAAAAAAACATGTCCAGCACTGATTACCTGTTCAATAGGATTTGGCAATACAGAACAAGTTATTTCATTGCAATTTCCATAGAACAGGTCCCAAATCCATGGACATTTCTAAAATATAGATAGTAAAGTATGAACACATCATATGAGCATTAAAGAAATTGATCGATTACAAAAATTCAACTCAATGTTTAAAGCTATATATTAAATATACGTAACAACTGATATTAGTTATGTTTTTGGATAACAGATAGCAGTTAAAGTAAGTACAAATAGTTTGCTCTATTTTCGACTCATCAGTTAACATTCACACTGACACTAGAAATGAAGTCAGTGATTATATGGACTCAGTATCTTCGACATAGACTTCATTAACATAGAGCTTTGTACTATTGTGCATTGGCTAGACCGCATTAGCACGACGAGACGAAAAGAACACTAAATTGAAATATTGTAGTAGCAATGATAAGAAGAAAGGTTAAAACTTGAGAACATGATTTGAAATGTTAGAGTAGAAATGTATGAAGCGATACCGGAATTTAAGATTAATAAGAAAATAAATAGTTAGTGCATCTGCGCCAATGTCTTTGAGAATAACATATTGATATCTGAAACCATAGGTACTACATTCGGGTCTCAGTGTAAATATTAACATAGGAATGCAGGTAAATTTACTGAACAGGTCTCAAATAAGACGGAACAGATGTTCTGGATTCCAAGTAGTAAAATACAGAAGCTAAGAAAGTTATACCGAAAAAAAACAATGATATAATAATAGACAAATAGGACGAGGATTGAGAGGAGAAAACAGATGACGGGTAGTAGTAATAACAACAATAAATGATTCAGAAGAAACTGAATACTTTCGCACTGTCTAGGTCAAATTCAACCAATTTATCTAAAGTCTTCCATACTCTAGTTCTAGTCATCCCAAGGATCAAGTTCAGAAAATGCATTTACCACTTCAGGATATAATAGCCTCAGAGATTCCGTGTTGCTTCTACTCGATCGAGTTTAAATATTTTACAATATTTATATATATTATCCGGATGCAAAGTAAAAGTCACAACCACCCTGAGCAGAACAAATGTATAACTTTGTTAATTAGCCTAATACTTCTGTTTAGAACTGTGCTTTTAAACTCGATGGTGTTGAGTGTAAGGATAAATCACAAACAAACAACAATTTGTAGTATGGCATTTTGATTTAATTTAATATTGTGTTGTAACTAAACCCGAATTTATTGGGGTTTAGTTACAACGAAAATATAGTCAGTCAGTCAGCTACAATATAGGACCAGGCACATTTATGCATCGGTCCAAATTGCCATACCTCGTTAGCACAACAAGATGAACACCGAATCAACGAAAATATGTTAATCTACGGTAGATATGATTTGAAAAACCTTAGTTAAAAACATTACTATGATCAGATAATCACATACTTTTTCAAGTTTATTTAGAAATGACCGTAACTGATTTAAAGACATATTTGGGCCCAATGCAACTTCTTCTTTTGAGCAGAATTGTTGTGCCAACTCATCTAGATCACCTAAAAATTTTATTAAATAAAGAAGGAAGACTTGAATAAGGTCACACATTAATTTTATACAATAATAAAATTACCCAAACAATAAAAAATTGGGTTAAGGAATCCTTTTCATTCTATAATGGATATGATAATTGTTTGATGCATTTTAAATCTTAATACTTCCAAGTCAACGTATGTAAACATGATTTTGTCACTGTTAAATTTGTAGCGAACAAATGTTAAGCTTCGGAAAATTCCAAACGCTGATCACAATGTGTACATATTGGTCAAATGTCCTCCACATTTAATAATAATAATTATTATTATTTAAACACATAAATATTGGTACAAACGGGCAGCAGATATATATGCACCACACAAATCCCATTTGATTTGTGTGAGGGCTGGAATACTGCCCAAGTGCTCAAACTGAAGCAGGTGGTTTTCTTAGGGGGCCAAACCCCGAGCCTTTGACCTAAAGGTCTGATCCACAAGGCAGTAGAGCATCGTCAAGAGATGCAGTCCCATGGTAGCCGGTGACCAACGATTGATTCATACGCTATTTGTTCTCTCAAGATACTGGAGCCCATGTGGACCAATGGTTTTGAATCAGGGTTTTCCAACTCCCCTACGTGAACTTTCCGTATCCACCAACCCGGATAAAGCGCCTGACATTCGCTTTTCGTCCTCTCAATTTCATAAACAACACCCCGCCACGAGAAGGCAGTGAGTAGGACTTCCCTGGCGGAGGCTATATACGTGTGACCGTGTAGGAGCATTACGAGGGAGAGCTGACTGTCCCCACTCTCGGCCGTACCAGGGCATTCGACAAAGACAGTAAATAAAACTAAACACATGGGAAAAGAGCTCGATAGATCTAATGTTCATTTATAAACACTATGATCAAATATCATCACATACATGCCTCTGCAGTAAGAATCATTAGATTTCAAACATACTGAGTTTATATACCAATCTTACTTACGACATCGTACCATAAAATAGAAAATAACATTTGTACAAGATTTAGCCAATAGTGGCTGTGAATAAGAGGGATAGTAATTGATAGACAGTCAGTCAGTCAGTCAGCTACAACGTAGGACCAGGCACATTTATGCATCAGTCCAAGTTGCCATACCTCCTTAGCACAACAAGATGAACACCGGATTCATAGAAGTAATTAATTTACTGGTGGTAGTAGTATATAAATTATAGGTTGTATATAAGGATATAGTACAGGAAGGAAGAGAGATATGAAGCAATTTTAGTCTCAAGGTTTAAAGGAAAATAAAGAGTGTACACACCTACGCCATTGTGATCGATTCTGAGCCATGTCACCTAGAGTCTCCAACCATTGGTTACGATAGTCACGCGGACCCCAACCAGGTAGTCTGCATCTGCCAACATAGCTCAGACTAGAAGTTAGTGACTTCAAACACTGATGCCATGTTTTGGTTTGGCCGCCCCTAACTCTCTTCCAACAATCCCCTACACTAGTCATCATAGCGCGTCATGGTAATCGGTGTTCAGGCATACGTAACACATGGCCCAACCATCTCAGTCGATGAAGATTCATCACCTCATCAACTGATTTACCATCGTTCCCTAATACCCTGCGTCTAACCTCACTATTACTTACCCGGTTATCCCAGCAGATGCGAGCAATATTTCTAAGGCATCTGTAGTCAAATACTAGTAACCTACGAGTATCTTCAACTCTTAATGGCCATGTTTCACAGCCGTAAAGTAGGACAGAGCGAACTGCTGCGCAGTATACTCGTCCCTTAATTGACAGACGGATATCTCGTCTTCGCCATAGGTGACGTAAGTTGGCAAAAGCCAAACAAGCTTTTTGAATCCGTGCTGGGATTTCGTCTGACACCAACCCATTAGGGCTGATCAGACTTCCAAGATAAGTGAAGTTGTCCACGCGTTCGACTACTTCACTCCCTATCCTTAGTTCGAGTGTTGATGCAGGCCAGTCCTGGAGTAACAATTTACATTTGGATGGGGAGAATCGCATCCCAAACATCCTGGCATTATTACTGAGTTCCAACAGAAGACTCTGCATTTTGCCAGCGTCTTCACCAAACAGGAGTATATCATCTGCGTATTCTAAGTCGCTTAGTGGTCCCCCTGGTAGGAGATCAATTCCTGAAAATTCAGTCGATGAGAGTGTTATTTCCAGCAACAGGTCTATAATGAAGTTAAACAAAAGTGGGGATAGTGGACAGCCTTGACGGACACCACTTGAGGTTGTAAAATCATATGACAGTTCGCCATAAGCTCTCACTCGACTGGTAGTGTTCGAGTAAAGAGTCTTCACAAGGTTTATGTACTTCTCAGGTACACCTTTCAATGACAGACACTGCCACAGAACCTCTCGGTCTACAGAGTCAAATGCTGCTTTCAAGTCAAGAAAAACTATCATTGTCGGACGCCGATAAGCGTGTCTGTGCTCTAAAACTTGACGAATGGTGAATATGTGGTCGATACAGCCACGACCAGGTCTGAAGCCAGCCTGATTTTCTCGTGTTTGCAGTTCACGAGTCTTAGTTAGGCGCCCGATAATTATTGAGGCTAGTATTTTAGATGCTATGTTGGTCAGACTAATCCCTCTATGGTTATCGCAGGATGATTTTGACCCCTTTTTGTATATTGGGACAATCAGTGATTGTGACCAGTCGGATGGGATTACATTCGTCTCCCAGATTTTAGCCAGAATATTAGTCAACCTATTCGCTAAAATCGGACCACCATATTTAAAGACCTCTGGAGCCAATCCATCTGGACCAGCTGCTCTTCCTCGTTTCAGATTACCTATAGCCTTTTGAACTTCAAGTACGGTCGGGGGGTCTACTTCAATGTTCCATTCAGGTTTTCTAGGAATAGTGGGTAGTTGTGCAGTAGCTGAAGGCCAGCTAAACTGCTCCTTAAAGTGTTCCGCCCATCGTTCTAAACGTTTGGGTTGAGAGCAGATAAGGGTTCCGTCTTTTTCCGAGATTGTCTCACTTACACTTGACTTCTTAATTCCGGTTTCTTTTATTAGTCTGAATAGTTGCCTGGTGTTGCCTACAGCCGCTGCCTTTTCCATCTCTTTTGCTTTCGTTGCCCACCACTGCTCACGATCGTTCCTTAGACTTTTAGTTAACCTAGATCTAATTTCTTTACGCTCTTCGTCATGTTCAGAGCCTGATGGGATGAGTTTACGCGAATCCATCAGTGAAATAGACTTAGAAGAAATCCATTGGTTTTTTGGAGCCCTATGATTTAAATGACTAATAGATGTAACTGCTGTTTCCACAGCTGTTCGTGTGTCTTTCCAAGCAGCATCTGTGTCAGTCTTGTTTACAGAACTGCCTAGATGTGAACTCAGTTGTTTCTGGAATTTGCATTTGGCTTTCTCGTCCTCCAGTTCAATCCTAATGGGTCTTCTTAATGTACTTTTCCTGCGTCCATTGAGGCGCAGACAAATGCGTGCTCGTATTAAAGCGTGTTCAGAGTCTAAACAAGTATTCCAATACGAGCGACAATCTTCTATTCAGCCTCTCCAACGATGACTGATGACAATATGGTCTATTTGAGTCCATCGTTGGTTTGGTGCAGGTGGTCGCCATGTTAGACGATGTCTCTCCTTATGTTTAAAATTAGTGCTTGATAAAAATAAACGATTGCAACAGACGATCACCATTATCGGTTCGTTCAGCCGGAATACTAAAACACCCACCTAAATGTCTTTCTGTTTGATTCAAGCTGCCTACCTGGGCATTAAAGTCACCCGCTATGAGTACTATGTCTGAGCGCTTAGCTTTCTGAAGAAGCTCAGAGAGCTTTCTGTAAAAGTCATCTTTCATTTCATCATGGCTGCAGTCGGTGGAAGCGTAGGCAGAAACGACGAAAAGGCAACGACGTGTGTCCCTATCCTTCCGAGTTCTTACAGAGCCATTTAGCCGGACAGCACACAGGCGACTGTTAACGGGGATCCATTCTAATAGTGCCTGTTCTGCCCTTGTACTTAGTGCTATGCCTACACCTGCAAGTCCGCGAGAACTAGCCAACGGGTCGCCAGATACACGGAGGGTGTATTTCGTTGGCTGTCCATTTTTGCGAGGTGAGGTCAAGTGAATGACCACACTGGGATCCTGTATGCGTGTTTCGGAGACACAGCATACATCAATGGTACGAGATTCTAGGGTTTTAGCTAAGGAGGCCTGTTGACCGATTTGACCTAGGGTACGTACGTTGAAGGCTCCAATGTGTAGTTTGGAGCGAGGTTTAAGTAGACCTGGGACAGCGTTCCGCGCACTAGAATCGTTGGCCATGGTGACACTTGAGGAGGAAACCGGAACAGGAAGTTTAGTGTTCAAAGTCAAGGTAGAGGGAATAGTAGGAATTGAAGAAGAAGATTGATTATGAATACAGTGGTCTTGAGTGCTGTTAGAGGTATGAGGGCAGTTATCACTTCCCGGTTGCCCACACCGTGGAAGGATTCTTCTAGAGGTACCTGAAAAGGAAATTGGGTTAGGAGTGGTCTTAATGACCTGAGAGCGTGACCGCAGTGCCCAAGGGACAACTGCTTGAGGTCGGTCGCACATGACCTTTTTGTGGGTAGTTTTCGTGTTAGCTCCGTACTTGTTGGGAACTTACCGCCGGAGACGGAAATCCGTGGGATAAGGCGAGGTGTGCATTTTTAGGGTCGACCTTTTTTAACCCCACCCCTCTTTCTGGGAAGGCAGCATCGCTGTCATGCTGGTTGTCTGAAGGAAACACCTTACCGCTTTCACACCTCTGTACAGTCAGCAGTACGACTTCGCCTTCGGACCTTGGGTTTGCTGCTTTTAGTCTCACCGCTCTTCAACCGACCTGTCTGGCATGGTAGGACCTTGAGGAACGATTGTTCCAGCCAGCATAGCTCGATTGCTTCATCACGATAGGCAAGCCCGACCACCACGTCAAGGTAGCAGCAACGGTCGGGTAGACAGGACATAACTCGAAAATGATAAATCATATAATAATAGTTCATAGGTCAAAATAAAGCACATAATAAGAGGGACACGAATATGAATAGTTTAGTTAGTTAACAATACAATAAAATACAATAAAAATGTATGTATCATATTGATCTATAAATAGTTCTCAAAAGTTTCTATTCATTATTCTTATCGGGACATAACAGAAACAGTTTTCAAAAACCATTTATGATAGAGATTTTATCAATTATATGAATTATTACGTAATTTCATAATTTCTATGAAAATACATACGTAGGAAATGTAAACGGCTCAACTTGAAGAAAATTTAAGTAAGTCATTCGAATTTAAACATTTAAATATTTTAGACACATGCCATCTAACATTAATGAAAATAACAAGCCGAATTCATTGGTTAAATCTTTCCTAACGTACCTTTATCTTTTGAATACGCAATTTCTTTAGCTTCTATTAGTTTTTGCAGTTCTTCGATTGCCACTAAAAAAGAACATATATATATATATATATATATATATATATATATATATATATATATATATATATATACATATATATATATATACATGTACTAAACATGATAATACTCCCCATCAGTTAGTGAGTATCAAGTTCGTTCCCAGCACATGGGAATTGGCCCAAGTTACTGTAACACATTAACACTAAGAGATGAATATTGGATCAAAATAATAAAGAAGTACCAGTAATGAGGGAGACTAAATATTGAGAATATCTTTCGGAAGAGCAGTACAAAAGTTTGAATGAAGGAAAATTAGAATTCAAAATCTATAGAACAATAAAGAGTGAATGCATCTGTACCATTGTGACTGACTCGGAACCATCTTACCTAAATTTGTCAACCACTTGGTCAGATTTATTTCACTGACTTCAACTAGGTAGTCTGCATCTATCAACATGGCTCAGACTTAAAATTCAGTGATTCCATAGACTAATGATATGTTTTGATGTGACTACACCTAGCTTTTTTCAACTTACATCTTCGCTAGTTAACATTGCTCGTTGAGATAATAAGTGGTTAAGCATACATAATACAAGTCTCAACCTACCTAGTCGATGAAGATTTACAATCTCACCGACTTTACCCAAGGCTATATGCATGACCTTGAAATTGCTACCTCGATTGTTGTACGATATACAAGCAGTGCTTCGAGGACACCTGTGATCAAAAGCTTTCAGACTACGCATATCTGTTGCTTCCACAGACCGTATTTCATAGCCACTAACCATCAGTCTTAAGACCGACACAATAAACAAATATATGGTAGCTATACACTTGTAGTCTTATTTTATCAATAATAGTAAGCCACCATGAATGTTATTGGTGGGACATTCAGAGCATTCATTATATTTTTGATCAGAACTGTGCTGAGGCATGTGACTACTTTTATATTCAAAATGAATCTAGACAAATTATAAAAACTCCACCCTGCGAACAAGCTTGTACTGTTGTAAAATGATTAGAGAGTCGGCAAGAGACCCTGGACCAAGGTTTCATGTAAGCTGACACTCGTTACTAAGCCATATCTATAAATTTAAGAAAACTGATGGTGCAAACGGGGTTTGAACCAGCAACTTTGTCGACAAATTCCGAACAGCACTGATAATTAGAGACATGTGAAGTTGGTTGTCAGTCAATTATTAATCAAGGTAAACTTGGAAGGCGGTTTTCGACAATTATTAATTTAGTTCTACGTGAAAAAACACTAACATTAAATAGTTGGTCTGGCAATAACAACCTCTACATTTTATTGAAGCCTAATGAAAACAGCGGGATATGATAAATATACTATTACAATATTTGTTCACTTTTTTAAACATCGAGATGGATATAGAAAACGATTTGTGACAACTAATATAGTACGTTGGAAATGAGATAAAACACTGTTAAGGGCATGGTCATAGAAAGCATCGTCTACCTTCTTTTTTGTGCAACTCTGTCATCAACTTTGACCGTTCACATTCCCAATCGGCAGTGATGGAGTTTAAACGAGATTCAAAACTGGAACGGACATGTTCAACTTCTTTGGCGGAATTGCTCATTTCTTTTTCAAGCATTTCAAAGACAGCAGTTTGGTCGAGGAGAACAGTAGAACTTGACTGTTTTGCAGGTACTTGAGACGTTACTAACAGTTCACTATATTTTATGTTTAGCTCATTATATTGGTCTATAAATTCACTTAGACTTTTGTCTAGAGAAAAGGTGCTCAATTCCCGTATACGAGCAAACAATCCGCTTTGTAAACCTCTGGCCAATGTACTTAACAGATGATAGAAATCTTGCTCTGTTTCGACGGAGCTCAGGCATGAGTTTTCAGACGTTACTCTGGAAAGTTCTGAAAACTTGTTAACAACTGAAAATGCGGTCCTTAATTGTTCACTGTATGATGAAAAAGCACTAGAGGTATCGGATAAAAGGCTTTTAATACTTTTGAGATCAGAAAAAATATTGCCACACGAAGTTATTTCATTCTTTTCCTCATAACAATACATTTTACATGGAAATGAATTATTCTCATCGGCATTTTTTAAATCGTCTGCGTTTTGAAAATCACAAGCTCTTAGAACACGGCCAAGGCTAAGAATATCTTTTTTCAGACCACTTATATCAGAAACTGTTGAACCAAGCACCAAACATTGATCCTCATCCATAATTCTTTGAGAAATAAGAGAGGTTAGAAGGGCAAAATTAAAAAGCTCAATATTTGTGAATAGTATTGGGAAAACGACGTGGTCAAGTAAATTATCAATGGAAGGACGGCTGCGTCCCCGGACTCATAAATGCTTTTAGTCTTGGTGTTTTCCAACCGACTTTCGGCACAATAAGACCAAAACGAAAGTGTTTTGGTCAATATAGTTCAACTGCGCCATCACAATAGGTAAACCTAGCTACCACACTAAGGTACTAGCTGTAGTCGAGGAAATACTGAACAAGTCAGTATTCGTCAGAAATACTGATGTGACTGCAACCCAACCAAAATATATGGAATTAGGCAGGTGAGATGGAAAAACAGATGTGCTAAGTGAATCTATATGGAGTAAAACTTCACAATTAGCAAATGACTCAAGCACTAGGTTACTACAAACAGGTATTAAACATGTTTACAAGGTTGAACAGAAAAATCCTGATTACATTAACTATGATGCCGTACCACATACATGATCTACTTTTTAAAAAAGGCAAGTTAATATGAGCAGCTGTGTCATAGTATGGTTATGCTGCGTTAGGATCTGATGACAGTAATGCTTTCCTTGAGCATAAACTACTTAAAGACGTACACCAATAGGTAGGGGAGAGTAATTCTAAAGGCAACTGAAAATGCTAAACAGCACAAGTGGAAGGAAATTTCCCCTAAGCATAAGATAATCAATAGAAATAGCTTTGAAAAGCGGAACAAATCATAACGTGCATATTCGCATTGAGAACTATACAGTTATATATTTACCGTCAGTTTACTACTTTTAGTTAGAGAATTCATATGACATTACGAGACAATTTACACATTATAGAGAATGGAGTTCACAACTACTAAAAGGTATGTTAGAGATCGTACTTGAAATATACACTGAAAATAAATTGACGTTCCTATTTGGTGAATAAAACGTTTTTACTGAGGTGACGGCGAAAAATAATGGCAAAGCGACTTCTGGAAAATAGTAATCGAGAAAAAAAGAGATATTTACAGTAAGTTTAATATGCTGAGAAGACCTACTGACTATTTGACGTTCCGAGACGTTTTACTAATTCTTTATGCAGCAAAAAAAATAAACTAGTGGAACCAAACACAGCAGATCCACGACTTATAGGCAAGGACAACTTATACTTAAAACCAACGAATAAAATCACTTACTTCTAACCACAACGTGCATTCAAAATCGCAAAACGCGCCCTTGGACAGCGTTTGTGGCAATGGCCTTGTCAATGAAAAACTTGAAGCGCTGGTGGCAATGTCTAGTTTTTGCTCTCAATCGTCGAGGATTTGAAAATCTAGTTTTCGCATTGTTTGGGATCTTTAGGCATCAAAGTAATGTATAAGCACTACTAGACAAGCTTTCTTGTTAGTATTATTGTACTTTTTTATTACAATATTAAGTGGTTCAGTCTTCAGTAATAAAAATAGTAGTTTGGTGAACATGTGTTAATCCTGACAGATTGCCTTCCAGTGAGGGTACAGCTCCTTCTTAAGAATGTTCCCTAATGGTGCTGATACCACTTGTTCGGGTAAGGTGTTTCAGTTGTTAGCCACTCGATGAAAAATACGGGACCCCACCTTTAGATTATTAGCTCGTGGTTTGTGAACATTCTTACTATGACCTCGGAGATTATCGATGTAGGAAGGAGCAAAAAGGTAAGACATATCGGCACACAAATCATTACTAAATGTACAAGATGCCAGTATAAGGTCACCACGCGTCCTACGATAAGACAAGGGAAAAGGTTTAGGCGATTAAACGCTCTTTGCAAAAGAGTTTGAAAAAACACTTCATCAATTTCTTCCCCGCATTCTGGACACACTCAAGTGAGTTGACATCCTTTGTTAGACATTGGATAGCTTCTTGGATACAGTACTCTACGTGTGGTCTTACATAGGTGGGATATAAAATTCGAAACATCTTGTTAAGGCATTTAAATGCTCGGCGAAGTGACCATAGCGCACGATAACCTTTGATAGCAGCTGCGTTGCGGTACGGAACTGGAAAATACCATCATCACGTTTTGTTCGCCGTTTAACGTACGAGAACATTCTTTTCGGACAAGTACGGCTATCATATTCCAACTGTCGTTAGTAAGTATTACCGGATTTAGCCATTGTCCTTTTACATATATTCCAGATTTTTCATATTCGTATTCAAATGGTTTTGTACGAAATAGAAGAAGCTTTCGCTTAACAAGCTCCTGTATCTAGTAGCAGCGGACCATCAGTACCTCCAGCTAGGAACCTAGGTATATTATTAACAAAAGAGGGGAAAGAAAATGGTAAATCATGGTAAGATACTATCCTAAGTCCTCAAGCACAGATCAACTTTTCTCTTAATGGACTCCTGAGAAGTTGCTTGAACTAGCTAAGCCGGCAGCGAATTCCAGCACTTAACTACCCAGTCCGTTCTACTGTGTTGTGGTCTCCAGTTTCTAAGTGTTAACTCTTAGGTTTGTGTTGTAGCTGAACCTAGGTAGGTGTTTAAGGGGATGTCCGAAATTATTAAGGCTGCTGTAAGCTATTAGAAGGTCACCTCTTAAACATTTTAGCCTATTAAGTAAAGGTTGGGAGACTGAAGGCACTGTTCATGAGGATTGAATTTGAGTCCCCGAACTTTTGTCGTAGGTCGCCATTGGATACGTTATAGCGTGTCCTTCTCCTTTTGGGGTGAAGGAAGAAATACTTTGTTTCCGTACTTTGAGTGGGAATGAATGAAATTGTTAATGATTATGTGAAAAGTTCTTCCGTCAAACTGGCCAAAAATGCTCTTCAATGGTACTAGTGCAAGGTTTGCTCGAAAGGTGTTTCCATCTCAGTTGGCATAATAAATAAAATCACAGGGTACCAACATTCCTAGATCTTTTTCAACTTCGGATAGTTCTAGGGGGAATTTACCTACGTTTTAGCCGTATTCTGCATCGTCTCAGATGAACTACTTTACAATTTGAAGCGTTAAAGGTAAGTTGTCATTTGCCCAAATTTGAACTGGAGTGAAATCCACATGAATAGCAAGTTTATCCTTTTGGTTGCATACACCTCTCCGGAGTTTCACTTCACAGGCGAAAGGTAATAAATCTGAAGATGCCTATTGTGAAATATCGTTGATATAAATCAAGAAAAGATTTCCTAGTACGGAACCTCAAGAGACCCCATTAAGACATTCCACAGCCTAAGAGAAAGCAAAGCTAACCCTAACTTTAAAATGTCGATCTTTTATATATCAAGTGAGCCAGATAATTAGGACGATTTGGTATCTAATCATTTGAGTTTTTTGGTAAGACGTATATGGCTGGGCTCTAAACAACTAAATGTACTTTGAATAAGAAAAAGAGAACTAAGCGAACAGAGTTTTCTTTTCGACAAAATCAATGCCAATGCCTCAGCATTGCATATTTTATGGGATTGTCAATCCACGAACTCAAGCCTAAACTTTGCGCGCAGAAACGATTTTTTCAACCACTCACCCTTCCTTGGCCCTAATTCCCTTAGTGGACACGTTCCTGGTTGTTGTTTTCTTTCTTTTCTGAATTTGTATTTGATTATGATCGGCTTTTTGTTTTTTAAATTACTGCTTTACATTTTAAACTCTAATCAGTTATCATTATTATTATTAACTTATACAAGTTTTTTTTATTATTATTCAGTCTATTATTATTACCTTTGTGCTTGTCGCTTTTCTTCATATCTGTCAATTGCACTATCTGACCCATAAGTTATTTTGTTCATTACTCCTTGATAAATACGTAACCTCATTTGTTATTTATTGTCGAGTCAATTTATCAGGCAATCTTTCCTAGCCTCCCGTAGACATATATTTTCGATCTAACTATATATACGAATGTACAGCTTCAGTAAATGATTCCGTCGAAAAGAAAATTTTGTTCGCTGAATTCTCTTTTTTTATTCAAAGTACATTTAGTTGTTTAGAACTATTGACGTGTAAGCCTAACTAGCGTGTTTGTTAAAATTTTAGGAATGATTATTTGAACGTTGTTTAAGTACCCTGACGAAAACCGGATTATTTCTGAAAAGTAGCACGGCTTTAGTACAGGTTATTCATGCCCCACGAACTTATTAGTAACACATGAAGGTTGGTGGGCTCTTAGAGATCAAAAGTAACCTATAAAAGTAGCCTACATTGACTTCAAAAGAGCTGTTGACAAAGTACCTCACAACGGACTGTTATACAAGTTCAGAAACGTCGGGATTGGAGGCAATTTGATAATGTGAATAAGAGATTCCCTAGTTTGACGCCAACAGAGAGTACGGGTGGACTTCAGGTTGTCTGGCTGGAAAACTGTGTCAGGCGGAGTGCCCCAACGCACAGTTTTGAGGCCAGTTTTGTTCTTTCTGTATGCAAATGACCTTCCTAGACTCCTTTCATCATAGGTTTTCTTATATGCTGACGATGAAGTGCGATAAAAAGTAAGGGTGACAGTTTGGAGCTTTGAAACGATCTGGAGAAATTGTCTTAGTGGCCTGAAATTTGACAGCTGCCGGTAAATATTTTCAAGGGTACTATGATGAATAATGGCTACTAAGGTACAAGCATATACACGGTGAATAACACTGAGCTAGCTGTTGTCTAGATAGACAATGATCTAGGAGTCATCGTTAGCACGGACTTAAAATCCACTATACACAGATGGTGCAAAACCGCTAAAGAATTTAGAACACCATCGTCAATACGTAGAGCATTTAGGTTTGTAGACGTAAAATCTTTTTGACTTCCTATACAACATTCGTTCATCCTAACCCAATTACTGAATACAGTTGACAACTTTCTGACTAATAGGAGACAATCAGCAGTTGGAAAAGGTTTAAAGAACCACAACTACGCTTATTCCTGAAATATTTAAGTTCTCATATGATGCTCGATTGGCTAAACTACATCTATTTCGATTGTCATATAGGAGAACCAGACGTGACTTGATCACAAATTATCAGTTACTTAGTGGTAAATTTCTAGCTGATATGCCCTGATTTTTATTGTCTTCCAAAACAATTAATTTAAGAGGACACTCTAGAAATATTCAGGACAAATTACTTGTCAGCTGAATATCGACTGTTTCATCGAATCACCATTGATTACCTCAACACGTGATTGAGACTCTCTCTGTGATCGCTTTCAAAAAAAGTTGAATTAACTGAGAGACCACCATTGCCGAGACTAACAAGGATCACCTAGCCCCCTGTCCTTTCTAAACTGAAAATGAAACTGTTTCTATCATCTAGCCAAGGCGCTTGGTTAAGGTTTTGTAAACTATACGTTAACATTATACAAATAAAATTGTCCCAGTCAGTATAGACAAAATAAAGAACTCTTCACTGTATAACTTAAACAACGGCAGTAATACAGTGAAAGTTATTTGAAAAACCATAGTTTAGAATGCGAATAATTTGATAATTAAGAACTTTCATCATGTCACTTCAGCAACTGCCTCGAATTATGAAACGTGTCCTTGAACGTTGCATTGAACCGCGCCATTTGCAGCACTGCAACACAATGTATATAAGAAAGCATAGTGCTCATCACATAATACGAGACGAGTAGTAAATGTAACAGTAATGTCTCACTACAAGCTGGTCAGTCTTCAGTAGTAAAGAAAAACTATAATAATCTAGTGAAGACCGTTGACAACGGAAGTCAGATTTCTAGTTTTCAGATTTGAAGTATATAGTTTAGGTATTGGAAGTCTCATTTAAAAACAAATTGCTGTTTTATGAACCTCGCTTTCGTGCGTATCTCAAATGTGTTATTAAACGTTCGGATAGACTCAATAGCACCTGAAAGTATGCAGAAACCTGCTCATGGTGTGAATATTTATTACCGTATCTATCGAACACTAAATAACCCAATAAATTAAATGTTCAGTCTCCGATAAAATCCATGTTCAGATATTAAGATTTTTACTACTACTGAGACCAATTGATTTCCAAAACTGAATCTAGTGTCAAAGATACAAAAAAACCTAATAATTAAAACTTTAACTTTTATCTCAATCAAATTTCTTTACTTGAAGAAAAAAACATTCTTTCTATTCAATGTGTTTAATAAAATCTTTATCACATGGTATTTGTAATGAAAGTAAAAAGATATTAAATCTCTTTTTCCAAGTATACATTCAGCATCTAATATACATAGCTACTTCCAACACTGTCACGTGAACATGGACAGGTATGACGATGTAGTTATGAAATAAGAAGAAAGCTATTTACAATCATAGTAAAAACATAATTAGTTGATGATGATGATGAGTAGGTTGTAGGCTTCTTAATTGAAATCTATAATAGCTTCTTGATATATGACAAAACAATACCATTGTTTGTAAGCTACTAATTATATACAAATACTCATATATACTATATGTATATATATGTATATATATATATATACTTTGTTTGTGATACAGTTTTTATTTGTTTATTTTTGACGGAACAATGTACGACTCAACTAAAGAAGCAGAACAGATGCAACAACATGCAATTGAATTATCACTAGAAGCTATGGATCTATTCTCATCTCATGATGGTATAGCTGATTATATTGCAAAAGTATTCAACGATACATATTCAGGTTATTGGGAATGTAAAGTTGGAACAACATTTGGAAGGTATGTTTATGTAGATTATTATGATTATTAATAATGGTTTCATTCAATATTATATTTTTGGTACAATACGGAATTCTCATCACAAAGTATTTCAATGAGTTTCCTTTCTTTATTTCTTCATCCATTCTGACGATAAATATTGAGTGATCACTAGTTAGATGATAGCAGTTGAGGAATTAACATCTGAACAATGATCATTCTTTTGAATACATATTAACATTCACGCAATGTCTCTGAATGTACCTTTTGTACGTTGTACGGTGAAAGATCGTAAACTTTTCATAAACGCGCGTAAATAGGTTATGCGATTAATAGACATAATGATGTGTTAAAACAAACAAAATACACGTAACTTGTTGAAATGTGTTGACGTTAGGAACAGGTAGCCTAGATACTCAAGCAGGCTGATATCATTATCCAGTGTATTTATCTGATTCATAGAAAAATGATCATGTTTATGCTAAAAGTTTAGGACTGTAGCACGAAATTGGTCTTATAATTATGTGTAGCATTGAAACAATCACGTGGTTATATCATTGAATTATATATTTAAAGGACTTACACACAATCATATTGTTAATAAAGATATAAAGCGATGAAAAACAACTATTGCAAAGCTGTATCGTTCATGAAAATTGCTAACATCCTTTAAAGTATCACTGGCAACCGTGGACCACGATAAAACCGTTTGATCATAACTTAAGAATCTTTAGGAATGAATATCCATGACTTATTACAAACTGTTAAATCATGGAGCAAACAATCCATTTTTCATCACTTCATTAGAAGTTAGTGGATTGTATTTTTCAATTTCAGATAAAATTTAAGCAAGTTTTCGGTAGTTTATTGCATTGGTAATTGTATAACTGGTTAGACAATACTTAGATGATTATTATAACTTAGGAACTTCCACATCTATACCGGTGGGTATGATATTATTAATATCATGTTAAACAGTTTTAAGAGTAGTTCGTTGATTTTGCAAGCAGTATTTATCATATCTGCTTAGCGACGAAAATCAATGTCGATCAAGTTAACTGCCAACTTTGGTAATCTGTCCCTTGAACTAGATGATTTAGTTGCAAACTCTTAGTTGTTATTACGAACAATCATAGTGAGTACATTTTAGTCTTTAATATTAACCAGATTGAATTTCCATATTAAGTGGTTATCGTCTATTTATAAATATTCTCATTTTATAACTACTTATGGTAATTAAATTCATTGATCTTAGCCTTAATGGTAAACAAATTGCTCTAATAATGGTAATACTGATTAAGGGGTTTTGTGAAGATTTAGTATTTTCATAGTTGAAAGCGTGAGTCAATTTAAGCTAGATCACCATCGAAAACCTGGAAGCACTGGACGATCGTTTCGTCCTACTATTGGACTCCTCAGCAGTGCGCATCCACGATTCCGCACTGATATTATCTAGTCACTACATTCTTACCAATGATATTTCATACACATCTTTATCAGTTCCCAAGCTTCTAAAACATATTAGAGCAGTACTTATTGTTTATTGTCAACATACTGATCAGTTCAAAACATTATTATTATTATGGTCCTTTTTTTAGCTTCGATACATGTGATTTAGAATGCTGTTTTCGATATTTCATTGACGAATTGGCATTCTTACTATACAAATCAAATTAATTTAATTTAAATCTAACTTGTATAAATGATTTGGATAACATCATTATCAATAAAAGGAATAACATCCAATGAATTATATTGAGAAGAATTAATATACTACCTCGTATTATCGATGAATAATGTAAATTGTTTTATACCAAAGAGAATTATGAATGGTCACTTTTGAGGACTATTTATAGACCAATGTGATATGTATATTTCCTATTGTATAATTTTTAAGTAACTTACCTACTAACATTCGTATTCCTCTTATCATAAACTTTATTTTGACTTATAGGCTATTATTATACGATTTACCATTCTTCAGTTATCCTTAGTCTATTAATTACTGTTCCCCCTATTCACAGCCACATTTGGCTGAGTCTTGTACAAATGTTGTTTATCTACTTTATGGTACGATATGATCAGTTTGTTTGGTATATAAACCCAGTATGTTTGTGAATATTGATTCATATTGCAGAGGTTGTTATTGGTGTTCTGGACTTAATTGGCTAGGTTAGGTAGAAAGCAGGACTGAAAGGTACTCAAGACTGTTCACACGGCTTTTTGTGTATCATTGCTCTGATCGATAATTTACTCCTCACTAATTGGTGGGAACCAACACATCATAAATTAAACAGGGCACGTACTCACGCACTCGATATAACATAAATATTAATTTAAAGTAGTGATATATCGGTTAAGTGCTCTGGCGCGAGACTGGTAGGTCCTGGGTTCGAATCTCGCGAGTGCGGGATCGTGGATGAGCACTGCTGAGGAATCCTATAATAGGGCAAAAGGGCAGTCCAGTGCTTCCAGGTTTTCCATGGTGGTCTGGCTTTAATGGACTCATGATTTCAACTATGAAAAATACTGAAATCTCCACAAAACCCCTCTGATAGTAACATATTTTTATATGATCCATTTATAGTAACTTAATAAAACAAAACTAATCCATAATAAACATTTCATGACCAAATGAAATCACACAGGAACGATTTATTATTAGAAACCTATTTGACAATGTATGAAGTCAAGATGTATCTAAAAGTAAAACAAACCAACAAAAGAGAAACGTTTACTCCATGTGATATTAGCTGTAAAGTTATTTGATAAAGTATCTAGATAATCAGTTTGTTCCTTGTAGTTAAATAGTTTTTAGTTAGGTAGTATATCACATTTCTATTCTAAACCTTATCATGAGGAAAATGTATAGAAAACTATGTGAAATGCAGATGTAGAAACATATGATATTGACTTATTTTGAAAGTAAGCCTTGTTAATGAAAGTAATCAGAATGAATCTTCTATGAAGTAAGTTCAACTATCTCCAAGAATGTCATTTTATGATACTTTTACATGAATTATATTAGACGTTATAAATTCTGAAATGTGTAGTGTCTAGCAGTGGAATCGAGGGTGCGCGTTCTGTCCGTTGGATGTATATGCATCCCAGAGTTGATGCACAAGGGACTTGAATACAATACCATTCGCATTAAACGCCATCGCAATATCCACATAGCAAATGAGTACAGATAGCCACTGACTTGTGCAACGAGGTGAAGTTTGGGTATTTTAATCTTCCCATCAATGTCTAGGACTACAATTGATCATTCTCTTATTGGCATTTGTACATCTTGTGAGGACTGCCTCGATAGTGCGTTAAATTACGAGTACTGTAAGCAGAGATGCTTGATACACACAGGTAACGAGTCCCAACCACGTTGAAACACACGTCCTGGATTTTACTGCTAGCCACTATCCATCTTTGCCTATAGCGCTTGTGATTTAAGGCAATATAGAGGCAATCTGTACAGGATGGAAATATTCCAATAAGCGACTGATCAACTGCAGTCCTATACATTAATGGAAAAATTCAAACAGCATATATCAAAATGAATTCTAAAATGATAAATATTTCTCTTTCTCTAAGTAAAACCCATCATACCTACTACTTTGATAACATAAGTTCATAAACATGATTGTATCTTTTAAACAATCAATGTGTTCATTGTTATATATTAATTTTCATCAAGTTTATATGGGAGAATATCCAAACTTTAAGTAAATTAATTAAGACTGTTTAACTAAACCATACACTCAAGGAAACTCCTAATAAACTAAATAAACACATCAACTCTGAGATGCAGTTATATCCAGCTGACGAGTCCCGAATAGGACGAAACGCGCGTCCTGCATCCCACTGCTAGCCACTATCAATCTTTGTTTATAAAGCTTGTGACTTCAGGTAATATCGAGGCATTCCGCATAAGATGTACATATGCCAGCAAGAAACTGATCAATTGCAGTCCAAAATAACACTGAGAAGATTCAAACAAACAATACTTTACCCCATTGCACATGCAGGTGGCTATCAGGACTTAGTAGCTATGTGGATAATGTGATAGCGTTCGAAGCGGACAGTACTGAGTTCGAGTCCCAGAGTGAACATCAGCTCAAGATGCAGATACATCCAGCTGACGAGTCCCAAAATAGAACGAAACGCGTGTCTTGGATTCCACTGCTAGCCACTATCCATCTTCACTTTATGACTTTGTTGTCATTTCTATCAATATTAACATCCTATAAATTCTATACTTAGTGTTTAAACACTAAATTGCTGAATATTTTAATAAAATCTGACAATCATACAGTGAATACTTCATATGAAAAATATCAGTCAATCATTTCAGAGTTCATTGTTCTTCCGATTACACATCAATAATTCTTTTTCATTTGATCTTCTTAACCTACTGCCTCCAGGCATTTCAATTTTGATTGATCATGTCAAGAAGTCTCTAATCAATGTGAAATAATTTTTCTTATTAGATTATCAATGCTTCAGTAGACTGTTATGTCATATTATTGTCAAAGTACAAATGTAACCTTATTGAAATTATATCGAATTAAACTTTTTAGATGAAGAAATAAGTTCTCCAATATAAATTGGTTCAATATTTTTTGGATTATCTACGATTAAATGGGAATTCGCACTCGTTCAATTTTATATATGTAGACACTAGTACCGAATGAAGAAACCAGCCGAAATGCATACACATTAGAAAGGAGTGAGTAATACCTGAACTTTCGTAGAATTCGCCCAATAAGTTATAAAACGCCTTTATCATAGAGATAGAATGTTACACAGATCAATAAAATCAAAGAAAGATTATGTAATTATCAATTATTGCCTTCGAAGAAATGGATGCCCCCAATCATTTATAAACAATTATAGTGCTGAACACCACAGTACGTAAAAGATTGACCAACTAGAAAAGAAACATATTTCTATCTAGTTGACGTTCAAAGGTAATCGAATTATCGATAAAATTAAACAAAGATCAAAGTTAACTTCAAAGAAAAAAAATGTTTCCTCTCTATTCAACTTAATGTTCAATAATACAAATTAGAATAAACATCCATAAATCTTAGTTTTAAATGCTTATATCAGTTCACATATACTTACAGTAAATTGAAATGATAGAAAGACTAACAGCTACACTTTTTATAGAGTTGAGATCATGAGTCAATTGAAGTTAGATCACCATCGAAAACTTGGAAGCACTGGACAGCCGTTTCGTTCTATTTGTTGAGTATATTCCAAAGAATCTAAACATTTGAGAATGAAATATTTTTTTTTACAGGTTGATAACACAACACTTACTTAAGACAGAACATTTAGTGAATGTAATGAATCCATTTAAATTCATTCAGTTATCACATTATCTAATCAACATTGTATTAATTAACATGAAAATGATTATCATAATATGAACATAGTGGAAGAGAATCTGGCACATAGACAACATGTGATACATAGTAAAGGATAATTGAATAGTACACATGGTACAGTGCATGATGTTAACGGTATATAACATTAAACATTACATATTTCAAATGTCTTGCTCTAATTAACTGACAAATTTGTGAAGTTCAATTACCTTTCAAGTAGTTTATTAGTGATAGGAAAAAAAGTGGAATTGTAGAGAAGTACAAGACTATTTCTCGTCAAGTGATCAAACATTTTGTTATGGTACATTTAGTTCTTGGGAATTTATTGACGTATTTGTTCAGAATCTATGGTAGTTTAATAAAATCTTCATTGAATTCATTTATGAGTGAAGTATTCTTTTCTCTTTCGTACTTAAAAGATTAAATTCATTTTTCATTCGTTGTTTGAATCTTCCCATTGTTATCTAGGAATGTAATTGATCAGTCTCTTGTTGGTAAATGTGAATCTTATGTGGATTGCCGGAATAATACCCGGATTCCACTACTAGTCACTATTCATCTGTGCTTATAACGGTAGTGGCTTCGCGTTTTCGGCAACTAAATGGATAACGAGATGACGCTGGAGGCAAACGGTATTGGGTCCGAGTCCTGGGGTGTACATCAACTCTGGGATGCTAGTGCATCCAACTGATGAGTCCCAAATAGGACGGGATGCGCGTCCTACATTCCGCTGCTAGCCACCATCAATCTCTGCTTATAATTACAAGATTTAAGTTATATTTTTTCTGTCTAGAACAATACTTGTGTTTTAATATTAAAATGTTCGCAAGTTGGAGACTTGAAATTATTATGCAATCATCAATGATTAGTCTCAAAATAGATTTCTATCAAATTTTCAATGGTACAATGTAACCAATGAAATCAACTATATTGACAATGAATCAATTACTTACTGAATAAATTGAATGAAGACTGTGTGCTATTACAGATAATTCAGATTAGTGAATATGACCAAATGAATCCCAACTCTGTTGGTTAAATGTATCATGTATACTACGAAACTGGATAATCTGTGTTACCGGTTTAACTAACGTGATATATTCATACAATTAAAAAGTACAGCCCAAGCATTAATTTACAGCTTACTACCAGTTACGGGAAATTTGTAAATTTGAAATGTTCAATTACGTTATAAGAAAAAAAGTTTCGAAATGTTTAACTTTGAAATTTGGATACTACTTAAGTGCCGAGATAACAGTTCAATATCAATGAACTCGTTATCAATACTGT